ACGAGTAAGTACATCTCGAACAGTCGTTGTATAGTTAATTGTTGAAGTAGCAGAATCATCTTGACAGTTAATAAAATGAGATGATTTTGAAGAGCCTCCAATTATTTTAGTTTTGTTGCTAACTTCTTGAGGTTGTTGATAGCGTGGTAATCGAGTTGTGGACGGAGTAGAAGTTGCTGACCTAACCAATTGAACCTAAATTATAATTAAAACATGAATTATAACAGGAAATATTAATCGATAAAAAATAATTTTATGGTGCATAATTTTTAAATGAAGCAAAACACTAACCAAACTTTCTCCATCATCCAAAGGAGGCATAATTTCGTCACAGGTCAAATCTAACAATGTTAAAAAGAAATAAATTTAATTTTAAAAGTAATATAAAATATCAACATTTTATGTCAAAACAAGTTAAAAGTCCCAATATTTATAAGTAAAGAAACAAACCTCTAGAAACCATTGTTTGAACGAATCCAAAACAAAAAGCATTAAAAATGTTCCCGCATAATTAAGCAGGAAATATTATTTTAAATAAGAAATTAATATAATGAACCTGAAAATTAAATTTTTATTAAAATTAAAAATAACAAAAAAAATAATAATTTTTAAATGGTTCTAAAGAGGATTCTAAAAGAGGATAACACAAAATCTATTTGCAAATCGAATGATTAAAATAACAAAAAAATATTCAATAAACCTTAACTATTTAAAAATTAAATGGATGCTTATCCCCCTTCCTGCATTGCTTTCATTCAGTTTAGTTAAAAAGAAAATAATCAAAAAATATTAAAGTTAAGAATATTCAATTAAAGCGTTAAACACAATTTTACTCTCATGGACCTTTTGTTAATTTGGTATTTTAACGTTTTAACCTCTTTCCATCAATAACTCCCCGCCAGTTTTCCATTTATTTCCTTTCTGCCAGCCGCCGCCATTTTTCGTAAAAATACTACACCGCATGATTTGTATTGTTCTTTTCCCTTCCAAAGAACTACCGCTTCTCTGCATTTCCTCTTTTCATACAAGCAAAAATGCACATCTGAGTTTATTTCTGTTGAATTTAACTGCAGACTGAACTTTTTGTCTAGTGACATTTTGTCGTAAATTTCCTTATTTTACCCTTCTTGTTCGTCTCTCAATTTCTTACACTATTTATCAAATCTTTCTTTTCCAGTTTTTGTTACTAAATATTTTGATTACTTCTCTTCTAATCGATATTTGAAAAATTTTCAGCTGTTTTCTTCCAGACTAGAATTTTCAATTTTTAAACCCTCCTTTTTTCGACCTTTGTTGAAATGAGTTCAGCGCGTGTCAAGGAGGGATATGTTCGCCTTAATCTCGACGAGAATGATGATCCTGAGCCATCTCCATCAGCCAATCCATACCTACAACAACAACAGGTTTTTATATAATTTTAAAAATAATTTTTTAAATTACTTTACTAATCGGCACAAATCTCCAAAAATTTATTTTTAAGGCAATCATAGATAAACAAGACCAAAGCCTGGAGCGGATTGGCGATTCATTGCGTACATTAAAAAATATGAGTCATCAAATTGGAGATGAATTAGAGGATCAATCCGAAATGTTAGACGAATTGGGCCATTCAATGTCCGGTGTAGAATCGAGAATGGATGAAGTAATGAAAAAACTATCTAAATTGACGAGGCTAGAAAATGGTTTAAAATTTTATTTTTTAAAGCTATTTTTGTTATTTTTAGAGTCAAATCAATGGACGACGATTTTTATTTTGATTGGGTTAATTGTTGTTCTATTAGTGATTCTTGTTTTGCTTTAAATATTTTTTAGAACGTTTGAAACGAATGTTTCGATAAAATTTTATTTAAAAATTGAAAATTTTAAAAAATAATTCAAACTGATTAAGTGATTTCTTTTAAGTAAACATATGTATATTAGTAATCTTTAAAATTCTAGGCAATATTTTTAAACGTGTTCAATTCTTTTTGGGTTTTTGTAAAAAATTGTTATAGGCATCCAATCCATTTCCCGGCAGAGGGTTGAGAATACAAGAGCCATCAAGAAGAAAATCAAAATTTACTTTGGAGAAAAACATTTTGTTGGCATCTGAGTCGCAGTAAAGTGTACAACTTTTGGGAAGATTTTTCTACAAAAAAATTATTTTTAAAAAATAAAAAAAAATAAAATTATAACTGTTCGACAAGTAGCTGCTACATGGTTTGCATCAACAAAAGACTCTTCAAATACCCATTTTGGTTGAAATTCGTTATCAACCAGTAATGTTGTTGATGTCAAAAAATTTCCTTAATTAAAAATTTTTTGTTTTACGAAAAATCTAAAAACCTTGTTTGTACCGATCACTTGTATCAATTCGAAAGTCATAACGACTTAAATCATCTACGATTCCTTGCCCTGTTGCCTTGAGAACTGCCTCTTTCAGACACTGAATTTTGAGATTTTTTGGTGATTTTATGTTTTTTAAAAGCAAAAAATACCCAATATCGGTAAAATATAGTCATTTTCATTTGTTCAGTCGGCTGACAGCGCATATTTTTTAATTCGTCAACAGAAGCAGATTTTGCCTTTAATCAAAATTTAAATTGTAAATATATTTAAATTAGAAATTATACCATAGAATTTATATATTCATCAGCAGTTTTGTCACCACCTAAAATTAATAAAAGGAAAAACCTTACTTAAAAACTAACGAGACATATCGAGACGCATAACATCAACCCCAACCTCAGAAGTGCAACTACTCGCAAAAACAGTCAAATCCCCCTTAAATAATTTAAAAATAAAAATCTAAAAATATAAAAACCTGATGAGAAGTATTTAATCCAAAATTATATCCGGAAGGGGTAACCAAATAAGGCTTTCCCTTTTGTGTTCTATTAAATTCAATTTCTTCCCATTTAGCCCCAGTAAAACGTTTAGATGCTTGTCTAAGAAAAAGTCGACTAACAAGTGTAGCAATTTGATCGTCTCTGAAACGAAAACACATTGACTTTTCATAATCTTCTTTTGGAACCGATTGAATTGCCAAACGAAAATTGTGTTCAAACTAAATAAAATATATAATATAAAAAAGTTAAAAAAACCTTTTCATCTTCCATAGCTCGCTTTAAACTAAAGGCCCAACGATTACAAAAACATTTTTCAACAAAACTTTCTGATGACCTAAAAAATAAAATGTAAAAAAAATTTAATAATCAAAAATTAATACGCTTTCATTGAAGATTATCAACAAAATATTTTTCTGAACAAAAAAGTAGAAGCTAATAATTTATTACTAAATTTTTTAATTAAAAAAGGTTAAAAATTTAAAAAATATTTTTTGTTTTTCCTTTCCAACTTTTAATAAATAAATTTCTAAAAACATTAAGCCAAATATTTATTTAAATAATTCAAGCACAGTTTTAAAATTAACCGTATTTTCTCGATTAACTCCCCTGGGGAATTATTGTTCCAACTCATCCGTGGCATGGGGAATTAAGCGGGGGAGGGGAATTAATCGAGAAAATACAGTACGTTAATTTAAAAATGGGACTATTTTTAGGTAGGTAAAGGTTAAAAGTTAAACAAAGAATTTACTGATAAATTGTAGTAATATTACTATTAAATACTAATTTTCTTTTAAATTTGTTAAATAAAAAATTTTAAAAAAAGTTTTGTCTTTTACGGAGATTTTTAAATAAGATTAAAAAGAAAAATGTGGAAATTAAAAGAATTAATTTCTTTTTTATTTTCAAATTTTTATTTTTAATTTCTTTTAAGAAATTGTTGAAAGAATAATTCTTCAATTATTTTATTTTGATTATTTGTTGACAATTGTGTATTAATTATTTGTTGTAAATGTTCATCAGCCTCAACTCGTTTACACTTTAAAATTGAAAAGAACTTTTAATTTTCTATAATTTATTTACTTTATAACGCCGATTCTGAAACCAAATCTGTAAAATTCAAATAAATTTTCCAAAAAACCATTAAAAATACCTTAATTTGTGTAGGAGTAAGTTTAAGTTTACAGGCCAATTCATCTCTTTCTGAATTGCTTATATATTTTTGTTGTCCAAAATATTCTTCTAAATGTAGAACCTTTTAAAATTAAAAATAATTTTTTTCTAGACATTCTAAAAATAGTTTAACAAACTTGTTCTTGTGTAAAAAGAACTCGTGGTTTTCGTCGTTTTCTTTGTGAACGGAGACGAAGAGGGAGGGGAGGAGGGGAATTTATTTTTATAGAAGCTAATTTAGAGGAATCCTTTTTTCTTTCTTTTAAAATAATTGTTTCGATATGATTAAAATTTAATTTACTGAAAGTTTCAACCATTTTCTCTTAAAAATATTTTAAAATAATTTATTTGAATTTATTCCTTAAAATAAATTTCTGACATTAAAAAGCTTTAATTGTCAATCCCCAAAAATGTTTGTTTAGATCTCCTAATTCACATAAGAGGAGCTCTTATCTTCATTCCAGATATATCATATTCCTTCTAAAAATTAAGGAAATATTTGCCATTCTCTCCACAAAAATATCCCTTCATTTTTCCAAGTCTTCATTTCCTTTCCCTCTCCTCTCTTCCATTAAGTGTTTTCTTTTTTTAATTGGATAAATATTTAAATTAAGGATATAATTGTGTGTTTGTTTAGGAGAAAATATTTGGATAAATTTACTTTCTAAAATTAGGCAATTAAATTCTTTTTAAACTTTCACACACTTTAAATTTAAAAAATAAGTTAATTTTTACTTCTATTATTTTACAAAAAAAAAGTAAAAATGGTTATTCGATGGAAGTAATAAATTTTGAAAAAAAATTGACGACAGAGTCAGGTCTAGAAATTTTTTTTGAGAACCGAAAAATTTAATTAAAAATAAAATTTTGGAAAAGACGGTGTAAAAAACTTATAAAATATCTCAAAAATTAAAAAAAAATAAAATTTATTTATATTTATCTAAAAATTTTATCTAAATTTTAAAAACAAAAAATTATTTAAACTAACAACCAAAAAATACATCAAGCAATTGCAGTCTTCTTTTTAGGTTCTTCCTCTTTTTTGTTTTCACCTTCTTGACTTTTCCTTTGCTCTAATAATTTCTTTTGGAAAGTTGGTGTTTTAATAAGTCTTCCAACACCAAATTTTTTAATTAAGAGAGGCAATTCTGGTTGAACCCATTGTTTTGTTATATCTTTATAATCACCATCAGGAGATTTATATCCTTCAATTGGAGGTGTTAATGATGGGCCTTTATATTTAAATTTTAAAATTATAAAAAATTAAAAAAAACCTTCCATAATACTCGGCAAACCACAATTTTCATTACTAACAGCAGATTTATATAATTCGGGCGAAACCATTTTTAAAGCCTCCAATGCACGGAACTGGCGTTTTGTTGCATCTTTAATCCAACGAACGTTTTCGCTAGAAAAAGAACTTGGTAATTCTTCGGTTTGTATACCCTCCTATTTGTGCCCCCCTTTTTTCTTTTACCATTTTTTCATTTTTCCTCCCCTTTCTCCCTTATTTTTCATGAGGCAGGTATTAAAAAGGGCAAGTATTAAAAAATTAATGCTCAAAATGTCGTATATAGGGTAATAAAAGGTGCTGAGTCGAACGGTACCACTCCCAATTTTAGGAAATGATTCTGGACCGAGTTAAAGGTCCCCGAAAATCGAAAAACCATAGGGGGGAGTAAGCTCGATTTTGGCTGTTCGACTCAGCACCTTTTATTACCCTATATACGACATTTTGAGCATTAATTAAATGGGTGTGGTATAACGGAAAAGTACCCTCGTAATCCTTTTTAATACTTGCCTCATGAAAAATAAGGGAGAAAGGGGAGGAAAAATGAAAAAATGGTAAAAGAAAAAAGGGGGGCACAAATAGGAGGGTATACAAACCGAAGAATTTATAAATTAGTTATTTATAAATTAGTTATTTTTGGAATATTTAAAACAAAATATGATAATTCTCCAAAAAAAAAATTATTCAGAGCCCCCAAAAAAAATCCAAACTTTGCAAGTAAAACCCTCGAACGTGCATATTCTTTCAATATAACAATTCGTTTGATTTCATCTTCTTCATTAATGGGATCTGGTTCACGTTTTCGAGTATCCAACGTATTAATTAATTTAACATCAATTCCAATTTCTTCTACAGGTTTTGGCTTTTTACCAAATTGTTTTAATTTTAAAATTGCTTTTTCAAGTTTTCTACGCTTACGTTCTTCTCGTATTTTTGCAATTTCTGGATCGACTGCTACCTAAAAAAATAAATTTATTTTAATTTAAAAATTAATTTACAACCTGCTTTTTCATAAAATGAAAACAAAGAGGTGCCCCCAAATGAAAATTTTGTTGGAAAATTAAAGAGGAATTTTTTAATAAAATCAAATTTTTAAGGTTTTTATTCATTTATTAACAATATTCGTAATAATATTTAATAAATTTTTGATGAAGATGACAAAACTCGAGAAATCGCAAAACCTGAATAACTAAAAAATATAGAAAACTGCCTAAGGGTATATGTGAGTGAGCAAGTAAAGCAATTTCTTGAGAATAAAAGAATAGAAAGAGTATAGATTTATAGAAACAGAGACATAATTATTTAATTTGGCATTCTGTTAATTATTTTTAAATTAAAAATATTTTGAAGGTTCGGCTTCTTAAAAATTTTTGTTCTTTGTTTATTTTTTAAAATTTTTAATGTTTTTTTAATTTCCAGCAAAAGGATGTATCCTATGAAACCTTATAATGAGGGAATTGTTGTTAAACCGGCAAAGATTGTTTATGAAGTATCTAGTTATCATATAAATTCTACAAAAAACATTGAAAATCAAATGAGTAAATTAGAAATTAAAAAAGATGAAATAAAACCAAAAGAATCTACAAAAAAGGTTGCAAAGTCTCCATCAAAACATCAACCTTTAAATTCAAAAGATAACGAAGTAATTATTAAACGTCTTTTAGAATTATCTAAACAATTGGATATTTTTATTGCGAAAGAAGGAGGCGATAGTAAAGTTAGTTTTTAATAATTATTTAATTTTTACATTTTAATTTTAAGAATAAGAAGCAGGAGGAAAAATGTTTGACTGAAACTTCCCAAAATGTTTCAAAAAAGAAAGGTTATTTTACTTGGAAAGAATTATTTTTAAATTTAATTTTTAAGAGAAAAAGACTGAGACAAATAAATCTTCTGATGTTCCTTGTCAAAATAAACCTTTAAATTCTTCAACAAACAGCCAACCAACTTCGCCCAATATTCAAACAACGCTTTCAATTGATGGAGGATCGAAATTTTCGTTTAAAGAACAACCAAAAAATTCGCCAGATATTGTACATGCCAGTGTTACTCCAACTACTGTACGTTTTCCTATTCATAATTATGAAGATGTTGATTTACAAAAATGCTTTATTGGATCTAAAATAAATTGCATTTTGCAAGAATTTGATAAACCTTTGGTTAAATTGTTTAAAATAATTGGTTTGAAAAGAAATGTCTATTTTATTGAAAAAGGAACGAACGAAGAAAGTATTGAACGGGAAGGTGAAGCCATATCGATTGAAATTAGTTATGGTCAGAAAGGTAAGAGAATGTACATTTTGAGTGATTTATCTTTTTTAGCTAAAATTAGTGGAAATGGCTTTGATTTGGTTGGTGAATTGGCTATTTGGAAATTTATTGGTTCTCTGCTTGGTCTTTACTCATTCAATGATGCATCTGTTTCATTAAAGAGTGATAAGTGGCTTTTGGAGGCTTCGCTTCTTGATAATACTCGAAACAATTTGGATGAACTTTCACGTCGATTAAATTCATATTTGGGCGCTAATGACTTTTTGAGGTTTTTATAAAAATTTAACATTTGTCCTCTTATAGTTAATATTACTTTTAAATAAAATCTAAATTTTTAAGTTCGTCTCATGCTATTTGTCTTGCTGATATTGTACTTCGTTCTCGATTCTCCAAAGATTATAAATTAATTGAATGGAATCAAATTGCAGCAGCAAATAATGTTCAAATATGGGCAAAACATATTGATAGTGCTCTTCTTTAAAGAATTTGATTTATTTGTTTTTCTAGTTAATTTTTTTTCTAAATGCTCATTAAGAAATTGATTTTTTGGACGATCTTTTTCTGAAAAATAACCAAACATGAAAAATTTTGAATTTGACTTTATTTTATTTGGCTTTAAAAAAATTTTAAAAATTTCGTCCATTTTATTTCTTTTCATCCCGAATGCTCTATGATTTTGTAATTCAATAGTAAATGTTGTTATATTAATATTTACTTTTTTTTATGTTTAAAATCAGTATTCATATTTTTATAATTATTTTTTCAATTTTTAAATTACTTTAAGGTGAAATAGAATAATTTAAAATGTCCGAAAAATTGGAAGAGCAACAAATGTCTTCTGGATCAAGTAAATCTAGTGATAATGAGGAACGTGACAAGTTAGATTTACTTAAAAAAATTTTTTTAAATCATTTTAATTTACAGAAAGATAGCCGAGATTGATAAACTCCTGGCAGAAGGTAAGAAACTTGAATTGGTTCAGTTGTATGAAGAGGCTGTTGATAAATTCGAATTGGCTACTAATACAGCGTTAGTAAATATTTTTATATTTGGGGATATTGTTGGATTTTTAACACGCATAACAAAAATTTCAGGACAGAATTCTTTGGAGATTTTGCGCCAGAATGTTACTTACCAGCTCTGAACTATGGCAAGATGTTAACACAGGTTAATCTCGGCTTTATTGATTTTGATAAAGATTGATTATCTTTTTTTAGATTGCTCGAATTGAATCTGTCAATAAACCTTTTACCGAAAAACTGGGAGCGGGAAATGAGAACAATGAGAATGAAACTGAAAATGAAGATGAGGATAAAATTGCAACCGAAAATGAAGGATCACAAGATGATGGAAAAGGCGAAGGTTTGGAAATGTTAATTATTTTTTCGGAAATAATTCTTTTTTTAGAGAATCAATTAAGCGAGAAGAAAGTTGAAGGGGGCAATGACGAAGAAGAAAATGGTGAAGGTAATGAAACTAAACAAACTGAAAATGGAAATGAAGAGAATGCTGAGGAAGAAAATGAAGATACTGAAGATGAGGAAAATGAGTTGGCTTGGGATTGGTTAGAAGTTGCTCGCCAAATTTGTGAAAAGTATAAAAATTGGAAATATTTAAATCATTTTTCAATTATTTATTTAGGCAAGAGCAAACACATTTTTGGTTGGAACGCAAATCTGACGCTTTTTTTGCATTGGGAGAATTTTTGACTGTTGCTGAAGAATTCGAGCAAGCAATTTCTGAATTTGAAAAAGCTTTGCATGTTCGACAAGTAAAAATATAATAATAAAATTTTTTTGAATATAATAATGTTTTTAAGGAAATTTATAAGCCAAGTGATCGCCGAATTGCCGAAGTGCTTTATATGATGGGGTTGACATATGCAAATAATGATGATTTTATCAAGTCTTCTGAATATTTTGAACGTGCAAAGAATGTATTGGAAAATACAATTGGTGATTTTTGTTTGGTTAAAGGGAAATTAGAATTTTAGTGTAATTGAGTTTAGAAAATTTTAGGGATTTAACAAAATAAATAGGAGTTTTTGAGATTTAGTTAAGATAAAACTTCACATTTTTTACAAAAATTTTTAAAAAGTTTATAAGGCAATTTTAAATTTATTAAGAAGATCGTGAAAAGGATTTGTCAGAAGAAGAAACAAAGCACAATCAAGAATTGGTTTCAAAACTTAAGGGAGAAATTGAGGAATTGCAAGGATTGGTTTTGGCTATTAAAGAGAAAATGACTGGTAAACATAAATGGAATATTTTAAAGTTTTAAATGAAAAATCCTTTAAAGATTCAACAGAATCTGCCAAATCTCGTGCTTGCCAATTAGCTGATGCTGTTAATATGATTGGGAAAAAATTAAATTCATCAAATATTGAGCAACAGAATCAAGAAGTGAATGATGTTACTGCACTTTTACAACACAAAGCACCGAAGAAACGAGCTGCAGAAAATGGAAAAGAGAATGATGAAACTAAAACGAAATTGGCAAAAATTGATGAGGATTGAAACGTTTATTTAAATTATTTTGATGGATCTTTTATATGTAAGTATGCTACCTTTTAAAAAATTAATTTTAACATTTTCGATTTTTGTTTAACTTATATTTCTTTTCATTTTATTTTGGTTTTGGGATTTTATGATAAACAATTGAATGCTAAAACTAGTATTTTTCTGATTTTAATTTTTTAAAAATCATTTCACTTTATCAAAAATAAATTAAATTTATAACAATAAAACACAATTTTAACTATTAATATATTTATTGTACACAATCCTGTAACACAAACAAAAATAATTTATCGATTCTTTTTTTGACCAATTTGTGTTTTTGCATATTTCTTCTGTACTTGGAACCTTGAAAATGAACTTTTTAAAAAAATAAACAAATTTAAAAACCAAATAATAAATGGGAGGACAGTTGTGGGCATTGCAAGTAAAAGAAAACCAATCCAAACACTAATTTTTGAGGCAAATCGTCTTTCATAGTCTTTCAAACGATAAATATTGCCTTTTAAAAATTAAAAATGTTTATTTTTTTTAATTTTTATTAAACCTTCTCCCGGAGCTGTCGAAAAACTAATAATTGCTTGTTTCGCATCATTTGTTGGGTAATAAGTAACCATTGCGGAAGTATAATTAAAAATTCCAAAAGTTCTCGGGCGCACAATAACAGAATGAGTAACTGAAAATTAGAAAAATGGTTTTAAAAATTAATCTAAAAGAAAAACCATTTTCTCCAGGCGCAATCTCCTCCCAATGAACATGCAAAAAACCTTTAACAATTTCAAAAGATTGTGTGGGAAAAGAATTTCTATCATCCATTGTGACTTTTAAAGCAGTTCTGTCACCAACATTATAAAGTACATATTCAATTACAAAATCCATATTTTCGACTGCATACTAAAAGAAAATAATATTTTTAAAAAATTAAAAGAAAAATACCTGGGAGAGAGTAAATTTTGATGTCAATATACGAGCAGAGTTTAAAGGTTTTTTGTCGATTGACTTAAATTAGACTTTTTATTTAAATTAAAAAGGAAAAAACCTCAGAAAGTGTGTCAGTTTCAGCATCACTTGCTGCGTTTAAATAAATAGTAAAAGAAAAACAGAAGAAAATAAAAAATATCCTTTTTGTAAACATTTTTTACTAAAATTGTTTAAGTAAAAATAATTTAAAAAAGAAAGAAATATAAAAGCGAAATAAAATCGCCAAAAAATTAAAAAAAATTAATTGAAGGAATTTTTAAATTTTAATGCAGTAAAGGCAAATGAATGAAAATATTTTTATTTTTTAGAGCAATGCCTTAATCGACTGATTTACAAGAAGCATAACCCTAAAAACTAAATTTTGTAGATTCTTACCAATTTAAATTCCTAAAAAATTTCTTACACATTCCAGTTATGCTCCAATTAATTTACAGTTATAATTCTTAAAAATATAAGTCAAAATATAGTGTATATGTAAAATGGCAATAATATATTTTTTTGTCTTTTTACCTTTAAACTACCTATTAATATCTAAATAACTCCCTTCTCCCTAAGACTTTTTACAAGTGAAGGGACATCATCAACAAACCCTCCTGCTTGACGAGCTGGTGGCTCTGTTACCTTAAAAATTAGAATTTTATTTTTCCACTTAAAATTAAAAACCTCCAAAATTTCAGTTTGTAAAGACAAATCAATTCCCAAATCTTTAAGTGCTTTCTTTTCTAAAGGCTTCTTTTTAGCTTTCATTATATTCGGCAGAGTTGAATAACGAGGCTAAAAATTTTTCTTTTTAAATTAAATATAATTTCCAAACCGTATTAAGACGTAAATCAGCTGTGACCAAAGCCGGTAATTTAACCCGTACAATATCCAAACCTCCATCGATTTCTCGTGTTACTTTTAAATGAGTCCCACCATCTTCTTCCTCTACTTTGCTTGCAAATGTTGCTTGTGGCCAATTTAAATAACCGGCAACCATTTGGCCTAAAAATTAATTAAAAATAATTTTAAAAGATTAACCAGTCTGGTTAGCATCATCATCAATAGCTTGTTTTCCGAGAATTATCATATCATATTTATCAGTTTCCACCAATTTGCTAATTGCACGGGCAACATGAATTGGTTCAAGTTTTTCCTCAAAAGCAGTGTCCACTTCCAAATGAATTGCCTTATCCGCACCTTTGGCAAGTGCTGTTCTTAGAGTTTCCTAGAATTATTTCTTATGAAAAAATTTAAAATTAAAAACCTGAGCCTTTTGTGATCCTGAAAAATATTTCTAGTTTATTTCGAAATTAAATATATTTTCCGGAAAGTTCTATTTTTATTATATTTTCCGGAAAAATTTTTGTTTTTAGGTGTTTAGTCGGTTTTTTTTGAAAATTCATATCTCGGGGAAAATCTGACCAAAAATTTTTTTAAAAAAACCATACCAATTGAGAGAGCAACAACTTCTACAGGTCCTTTACCAGCTTTTTCCTTTCGTTCTTTTATTTGAACCGCTTCCTCCAAAGCGATTTCACAGAAAGGATTCATTGAGTGATTAACCTAAAAATATAAATAAAATATTAAAAAAAATTTTTAGCTTACCCCATCCTTTACAACTCCAGTTCCATCTTTTTTCACACGAACTTTCACAGCAAAATCAATTACTCGTTTAACTCCAACAAGAATTCTCATCAATGATAAAATTAAAAAAAACAAATAATAAAAATTAAAAAATGAAATCAAAATCCAATTGAAATTTAGAGATAAGACGGAGAAAATCAAACTGCCGAAACCTAAAATTTATTTTCGAAACGATTTCTTTTAAAAATTTTAATTTGGCGTAATGTTTACAAGAAATTTAAAATAACAAATATCTCTCGTGTCTCTTATCTTTTGTGTAGTCTAATTTTTAATTATTTTTTTATTTTCGAATTATCGCATTTTCAATCATTTTGTTGAAACTAATTTATTGCTTCCGTGTCATTTTTTGTTTAATTTTAATTTTTTTATTTTTCAGTTTCAGAATATTTTTCAAAAAATGTTGACGTTTTCTGGAAAATTCTTTAACCAAAAAGCTCATATTCAATTATTTATTTGCCTTATAAGTCTTTACTTGTCCTTTGCGGATGAAAATGTGAACTTTATTGATGGAAGGCCTTCTACAGAATTTAGAGGATATTACAAGAGAGAACATTCTTTAATTAAACCCTACCAAAGTTTGTTTTAAATTTAAAAGAACTTTTAGAAAAAAAATATTTTTTAAGGTGCCGGATTGGATATTCCAAATTGGGAAATTGTTGGAGGCACAATGGTTATGCAAAATGAGATACGTCTTACAAGAGATGCACGAAGTCAACAAGGGGCAATTTGGAATAAAGTTGTAAGTACAAAAATATATTTTTTGATCTATTTTGTATCAAAAATTTTTTAGCCTAATCATGCTCGAGATTGGGAATTAGTTGTTGATTTTCGTGTTCATGGCTCTACAGGGACTTTATTTGGAGGTTTCTAATTTTTGAATTAACTTTCAAAAATTTTTAAGATGGCTTTGCAATTTGGTACGTGCAAGACCCGAATATTGTTGGACCTGTATTTGGTTCAAAAGATTATTTTCGTGGTCTTGGGATTTTTCTTGACACTTATAGTAATCACAATGGACCTCATTCGGTTTTAAATTTTTTCTTAAATTTAAAAATATTTTTTAATTTTAGCATTCCCATCCTTTTATTTCTGCTATGGTCTCTAATGGATCTTTGCATTATGACCATGATAAAGATGGAACACATACACAATTAGGTGGCGAGGAAAGCGGTTAGTTTAACATAAATAATTTTAAAAATTTAATTTTGGACCTGTATTTGGTTAAAAATCTTTGATTAAAATAATTTTCTCCGTTTATTAAAAATTTTAAGGATGTGAGGCAGGATTTCGCAACAAAGATCATGAAACATTTGTACTTGTTCGTTATGTTGGAAATACATTGTCGGTATGTTTATTTTTAATATTTTTTCAATTTATTTTAATTTTTTGAAGATTTTCACTGATATTTCCGATGAAAGGACTTGGAAATTATGTTTTCGTGTTGATGGAGTAATTTTGCCAACAAATTTTTATTTTGGCATTTCTGCTGCTACTGGGGACTTGACAGGTTTATTTTAAAAATAAAATAAAAATTAATTAATTTTTTTGAAGATACACACGATTTAAAAAGTGTTAGAATGTTTGAACAAGAATATGCTCGTGTTGAAAAACCCTTTGAAACAGATAGTGATAAAATTGAGCCTTTTGCTTCAAAGTAAGTTTATTTAAAATTTTAAAATATTTTTATTAAAAAATTTAGTCTTAAATTAGTTAATTTTAAGATTATTTTTTCCCTCGTTTAAAAAAGTTAACCTTTTAAACTTGGAAATTTTGGAGGAAAAAATGTAATTAAAATTTTATATTGTCATCTTATAATAATTAATAGTTTTTCAAATTATTTTTTTTAAGTTTTGCTGCTCCAAGAGATCATGTGCCAGATAAAAAACCATCAAAACTTGGCTGGATTGGTACAATATTTTTGATAATTATTGGAATTGTTGTAGTTGTTGGAGTTCTTGGGTTTGGATTTATTTTTCTCCAAAAAAGGCAGGAACGTTCGAGAAAAAGATTTTATTAAATATTTGTTTTATTTTGTTTAAATTAAATTAATTATTGGCTGCTCATTAAAAATAAGCTTCAAAAATATTCACTTATACATATAAAAATATATTAATTTAGATATATATTTCTATTAGTTGTATTACCTATTTATTTTTGTTTTTCTCTGTTAAAAAAGAGTAAGTCCTCATTTGTGATTAAAAAATTGTGGGAAAAAAAGAAATTTTCAATTAAAATTTTAAGTTTTATCTTTTTATTGCAATAGTTTTTATTAAATACCAAAAACTATCTATTTTTAAAATTAAATACCGACTTCTTATTAAATTTACTTATGTTAGACTATTTAATTTCCCTCATTATTTTTCTTTCCAAATCTTTTAAAAGCTTATCTTCCAAATTTATTAAAAATAACTTTAAAAAATATTGCCTTATATTAAAATTCTGCTCTATACTATAAAAAGTTTATTTTATATTTTTGATGAAAAATTTTAATTTTTGCGCTTTTATTTTAAAGAATGGAAAATTTTTGGAAAAAATTTTTTGGAAAATTTTAATTTGTTTATATATTTTCTATTCTTTATTTATTTAGTAATTCACCTCTATTTATTTTGAATTGCTTCCTTCCATTATTATAGTTAAAAATGTGTGATTGTGTTAAAGAAATAAATATTTGTTAATTGTTTTAAAATTATTAAAGAATTTTTTTTTCAAAAAATACTGGGAATCTTAGGGGGATTATTCGGCCCGAAAAGGAAAGGAGTGCCGGGATCATATTTTTCCTTATTTTCGTGAAAACACATAGGGCCGATTATTCTCTCAATGATAGAAATTATTTAGGGGCTTTACCTATTCTCCTTTATTAAAAAATTAATTTCCTTTAAAAATTACTCAAATAAATTTCAAAATTTCTAAGAAAGATATTTATTTAAAAAATAAAAATAAAGAAAAATTGTGTGTTCCTTATTGTGTAGTGTTTTTAACAAAAAAATAAAAATGTGTGTAAGCAGTTTTTAATTTTGAGAGAAATGTATATTCGAGAATACAATTTAAATGAGATATATTGGGAAAATAAAAATTATTTAGTCAGATTTTTTAAATAAATCTAAAATTATTTTTCAAAAAATCTAAAAATTCTTTTGTTTTTATAAAAACCTGACTTTAAATGATTATAAAAAATAAAATGCTTGGAAATAAATTGGTTTTTAGGAAATAAAAAAGAAGGAAAAGAAAATAGTTTTTGTTTTGTAAGCTTTAGAAAAAATTTCTTTAATTCTCTAAATTATTGCCGGAAAAATTTCAAAAAAATAGAAAACTGTTTACACACAGAAAAGAAGAAAAAAAAGAAAAGAAAAAAATTAAATTCAAAAAAAAATATTTAAAATCTAAAATTCGTCAATATTTTTAAAAAGAATTAACAAAAAAAATTTAAATAAAAATACTCCAAAAAAGGAATATATTAGATAATTATTTTCTTGTTCTTCTTTTTTTAAATCATTCAAAATTTTTTAAATTTGTTGTTTACTCTCAAAAAATGCATAAGTTGCTAAAGAAAAAAATATTTTTAAAAATTATTTTTATAAATTTACGATTTTCATATCCATTAACTTGCATTCCAGTTATGTGACTCTCTTCTGGAGTACAAACATCCACCTAAATAATTTAATTAATTAAAATATTATTCCCTTTAATTGAGTACTTCAATAAATCCTCGATGTCGATTTCTTCTTCCTCTAAACAAAAATACTACAATTGCCAAAGTAAGGGTTACTAAAGCAACAAGTCCAAGCAAAATAATTAAATTGGCATCTTCAAGTAAATTACTAACATCTTCCTCTTCCTTTAAAAATAATTTTTATTTAAATAATTCTAACAAAGTTTCGAAAGAAAAATCAAATTTTTACCAGACCTGCTCATGGATACGGATACAGATAATATCAAAATGCCTGCGGATATCCGCCTCTATCCATCATAAATATCCGGATACGGATACCAAAATCCGTGAGCAGGTCTGATTTTTGCATATTTTTTGTTTAAATATTAATTAATTTCTAGTTACCTTATTATTATGACGAGCTTTAAATAATGCTCTACTATAGTGTTTATTAACAATTTCCTCCCCATTATTTTCTTCCAAAAATTCATTTGGAGAGGGGGCCAAAACAATCGGTTCTATATTTATATTTTTTATTTGTTTTCGTTTAGCTCCATCCTTAATAATTCCCTCTTCTTCCTCCTCCTCTTCATCATCATCCTCATCTTCTTCATTTGAAGATTCCTCCCCTCCTTTTGATTTTAATTTAGCCATTCCATAAGGTTTAAGTAATTCTACGTGGATTTTAACTGGGATTTTTTGTGTTGAACTTGGGGCTGGAACTATTGTTGTTTTCTTTTCATCATCATCTTCTTCTGTATCTTCATCTTCTTCAAACTTTAAAAAAAATAATTTAAGGATTAAATTATTTTTAAATGCCAAATTGGGACTAAAAATAAAATTTAGAAATCCCCTTCCACTCAATCCAATATCTATCAAATAAGGTTGGCGGATAGTTGGAAATCTTCGGATATCCGGCCTTTTTTCGGATCCAGATCCGCTAAACTTACTATCAAAGTTTAAAGGAATATATGAATTGATTTTAAGAGCATCTATGGGTTTGACCATTTTTAATTTAAAAATTCCCCTTTCTCTCATTCCTTACTTGATCCTCATCAGAATCTTCGTCTAATTGTTTTTCCTTCTTTTTCTGTTTATTTTTATCCTCCTCATTATCATTCAAAACATCTTTTAAAGAAACAACCATAGATTTATGTTCAACTGAAGGTGTTAATTTGTGTGTTTCTATTTTTGTAACGATTGAATTATCTTGATATTTTGACGAAAAATTTTGTTTATATAATTTAATTAAACGTTCATTTCGTTCTTCATCACTCAAAGATTTTTTCTTTGTTTCAACTAAAAATTTAAAAATTTAGTTAACAATGTTTTAAAAATTATTTTTTGACAGTTCGGTGGTCCTTTAAATAGAACTACAATGATTTCCATAACTTTAAGGGATAACAAACTGGAGAATAGATCAAGAGAAAATCTTTTTGAAGAAACCTTAAACCCCCTTGTCCCTTCCCTTTTTTAAAATTACCTTCGTCAATTTCCTTTCGTTCCAACTCTTCAGGTGTATTTTCTCTTCGATAAGCTTTCCAAAAAGCCAACGATTTAGGTCTCAATTCTTTTTCCAATTCGGGGAAGTCCCTAAGCATTGCCAAAGTTCCATTAATTCGTAAGTCGATATATCGAAGTCTGTGGAGAAGAATTGGCTCAAAAGATATTGCCTCTTCTTGCTGTCCAGAACGTAAAAGGTGTCGATAACGATTAAGCATATGCAATCTGTCCTTTTCTTCAGCCCGAATATAATTTTTAAGTGTTCTCAAAACATTTTCTTTATTATCCCTTCCAACTTGAATAGCCAAAGCTGCCCTATATTCGTGTGTTGCTTGACGTTTCTTCTCATTAAGAGAAGTCTGTACACGCTCATTATGTAAATCTTCTAATTGTTTACGTTGTTCACGATTTTCTGTTTCTAACGAGGCTATTGTTTTACGGAATTTACCAGTCCTTTAAAATAATTTTTAATTAAACGGATATCTGTATATAATGGCCCTCTGAAAGGCCCCCTAATTCCCTTACATTTCTCTCTTGTATTGCTCTGCTCCTTTAGGATCTTTCTCCTTCATTTTATTATAACGTTCAAATAATTCACTCCATCCAGTAATTACTTTTGTAACTTTTTTACGATGCTTCTTTTCTAAACGTTCTTCTGCTTCAATAAAACGTTCATGTTCATTTGCTGTATTATCTTCTTTGAAGTAAGGATCTTGTTTTTGTTGTTGTTCTGTTGATGTTTTTCCTTTCTTTTTTGATTTGGATAATTTATCTTAATTAAATTAAAAATATTTTGGAATTAAATTTAATTAAATAATCCCACAAAATTCAACAAAACAGAATCCTTTCTCTACTACCAAAATTTCTGATTACGAAAAGGGATTTAAAGTTTAAAAGTTAATATGAAATGGAATCATTAGAGACAAATAATAAAAATGATGAGAAAAGTCAACCAAGAAAGATTCCCAAAAATTAATTTCACTCAAAATATCCAAAAAAACCCCCACCATCACTTTCCAAGTCTTCATCCTCATCTTCATCAGTATATTCTTCCTCCTCCTCCTCATCATCTTCTTTCTCCTCTTCATCATCGGAGGAAGACAAAGTTTTCTTTTTTTCTTCGTTTGAAGGTGTTTCCAAATCCACAACAATTTTTTCAATTTTTTCTTCCAAATCTTTTGGGCAACAAACAAATTCAACGCCTCTAAACATTCCTAAACCACAAGGCTCTAATAAAGCAAAGGAAAAAAGCTGCATTTGGTGGCTATTAGATTTTGTTGTTTCCTTCTAAAAAATCGGGAAATTTCTTTTAAAATTTAAAGGATTTTAAAAATACTTTTTTTAAGCATTCTCCTTCAGAAGTATTATTCCAAAAATTAAAATCATTACATTTATCTCTACCAATAATATGGTCAAAATGACAGCGATGGGGGACTTGTAAAGATTCTGTTACAAATTCTCCAGCTAAAAATTAAATTTTAAAAATTTTCTTTTTTCAAAAATTCCAAACCAATGCATCTAAATGGGCGAACATTAAATTGATGATAACATTCTTTACCTCCTTCACGACACCAACGGTCAATTTTTGTTATATGTGGATATTCAACCTTTATTTATTTTTAAATTTAATTTTTTCTCCCCCCAAAATTTCCCCTTACAATATTATTTATTTCTTCATTTGGATATACTCGTTTACAATATTTTAAAATATCATATTTTCCGTGTAAACAACCAGCAACGCTAGAAGGATCATCCTGCCAACGTCCATCTTTATTCATAAATTTATTTCGATATCCACAATTAAAAGCTACTAACGGCATAAAATGTTCATGTTTTTTGTTGGTTTTGGACTGAAAAAAAATTTTTTTGAAAGAATTTTTAATTTTTAAAAACTATTTCTGAAGTAATGTGATTGGCAAAGTTGAGACCAAATAAAGAAATTAAAAGTAAAAATAATATGATGACTGCCGTCATTGACGTAAAAAAAAGGTTATTTAAAATATTCGTTATTTAAATATTTTCTAAATTATTTTTCTTAAAAATTAAAAAAAATTTTAATTTAAATAAAGCTATTTATTTTAAAGGAAGATTTAATTTAAACAAAAAATGTACCTAAAAAGTAGAGTTCGAATCCGGGCCGGATTTTTTTGTTTTCCAGGCCCGGTAGCCCGGAAACCGGGTATTTTAATAAAATCCAGTTTGGGGGGTTTTTTTAGCCTGGAAGCCCGGCCCGGGTCCAAGTTCGAGTAAATTTTAAATAAAATTCTGACTTATTGGCCAATTCTAGCTCCTTAAACATCCAAAAAAGGCTTGCAAGAAAACACCGGGTGCCGGGCCGGGCCTGGCCTCTACTAAAAAGGTTATGTATTAAATTAGGTAAGTATTTTTTGGAGTAAATTATAACAATTATAAAAACAAATGAGAGTTTATTATTATTGTTAGTATTTTAGTTGTTATTTTAATAATTATATTTGTATATAAATTGTGGGAATGCTTAATTAAGTATACAAAAAATAACAATTATTTTTACTAAATATTTACTATTTTTAGTATTTTCTAAAGTAAAAATAAAAAAAAATAAATAAACATTTTTGTGACATTTTTATGTAATTAAGGGGAAAGTGACATTTAAACAAAATAAAAAATAAATAATTATTTTATTTTGATAAGGAAAAATTAAAATAAAATTTTAATTTTTGAAATTCACTAAAAAATAATTTTTTTCCAAAATTTATTTAAAAGTTTAAAACAATTTTGCAAAAATTAAGTGCAGAAAATAAATAAAAAAGTGTCAACACGTGCCAACAAAATGGTTGGTGTCTCCAAATGAAATAATGGTTGGCACTACATATGGTTGGCTAGAAATGGATATACAAAAAGTGTGTCTAACAATCCCCCCGACTTCCTCTCTGCTTTTTATTCTCGATGGCTATATTGCTGCTAATAATTTTTTAAAGTTATTCCCCAAAATGTCTGTCCAGAAATGTCTCCTCTAGGCTAACAACAATTGCTAGAAAAATTAGAGAAAAAAGAAATAGAAAAAGCTGGATGGAAGGCTTAATATTGAAAATTTGCTTTGTAAATGTTACTTTAAATATTTTGATAGAAAATATTTTTTGTAAATTTTTTCAAAATTATTTTATGATTTTTGAAAATAATTAAATATTTAAATTTATTTTTAAAATACTCAAAGTAGAAGATAAACAGACTGAAGAAGAAATTGGGGTAGCTTAAAAGTAAAAATAAAATAAAGCTTGGAGATAAAGTGGAAGAAGGAGGGGGGATGGCACTAAAAATATTTTAAAAGAAAAAATAATTAAGTGAAAATTGAAAAGAAAAATAAATGAATGAAAGAAATTGTGGAGATAATTTTTTTTCTTTTTTTTTGACCATTTACTTTAAAGGGAAAAAAATATTTTTACGATTTTTAGAGTAATTTAAAATGAAAAAAATATTTAGGTATTTATGGAAGAGAGAAAAAGGTTATTTAAATATATTTTTAATAATTTTTAACAAATCCCTGATTAATAAATTTACGTCAGAGAAAAATTAAAATTAGAAGCTACAATTTTATAAAATAAATTAGACATTTAAATAAAAATTATGAAGAACATTTATTTTTTCAATTTTCACAATCAATTTAATTTCTTTCTTTAAACAAATAAAATTATCTTTTTGCAATGCCAATTTTGTTAAAGACAAGAAGAAAATTTTTAAATTGATGTGGATATATATTTTATTTAATGTAAAATGTGTGAGAAAAATATATAAAAATGACCTTGGAATGGATAGAAAAAAATAAGGAAATAATTTCTGGAATATTTATTTATTCTTATTTTAAATTATAGCTAATAAATTTAAGCAAAAAATATTAAAAAATAAAAATATTTTTAATAAAAAAAAGAATAAACTTTAAAAAATAATTATTAAAGAAAAATAATTGTTGGGGGAAAGGAAGTCTTTAAAATGCCAAATAAATAAATATTTATTTATTTAATTTTTAGCCTCAAAGCTCTATTTATTTATTTTATTTTAAACAATATTTAAATTAACATTTTAAAGAAAATGCTAAAAGATTTTTCTTTTTGTTAATTAAAAAACGTTTTGCGCAAATGAGAAAGAAAAAAATTTTAAAAAATACTTAAAAAATATTTATTTAAAAATTTCTTTCAAACTTCCAAAAAAAAGTCTTTTTATTTTCATTAAATATACTATTTATTGACTAAATAATTTGTTTGACTTTTATTTTAATAAAAAAGAAATAAAAGAAACAAATTTTCACAGCAGTTGGTTAACAAAAAAATATTTTAGTATATTTATTCCTGTGGGAGTTTATTTTTACACTTTATTGTATATTTAATAATAACAAATAATTTAACAAAAAAATAAATTAATTAAAAGTTTTTTAAAAAATATTTTTAGAGAAATTTAGAAGAATTTCCTTTAACAAAAATGCCAAAAATCGTATTTATATTTAAAAGAAAATCTTTTTTTATCAAATTTAATGGCACGCAACCGAACGGAAAAATAAAAGAAAAAAAATGTAAAATTAAATAAAAAGATTTAAAAGAAAGAAAAGATTTTGAGGAAATTTGGGGAAGAAAGAACATGAAAATGAAGGCAAAAATAATATTATTTTCTAAACAGACTGGAAATTGAATTTGTAAGGAGAAATAAGAGGAGATTTAAATTTTGATTATTAAAAATAAAATAAATTTTTAAAAAGAAATTTCTAAAAATTAATTTAAATTATAATTTAAAAAAGAAATAATTAAGAATTAATTAAAAGTTGTTCACGACCGGTTAGCTTCCCCTGTGACGACTCAAATAAGGAATCTTAAACTTTTGAGCAGCCACAGGCGAAGATTAACAAATCGACAATCCAAAAATTAATTAATTTAAAATGGCTTTATTTCAAATAAAATCTTCTCCTTTTTTAAAATTTAGTTAAATGTAAACAACTTAACATTTTTGTTTGGAATGTTTGTAATAAATAAAAAAATATTTTTGTTCGTCAAACTTTGTTAATCCCCCCTCCGTTTCATCTCCTCTTCTTTACTTTTAAAATCTTCTAAAAAATGCCGTTAGTTTAATGCTTTTATAGATAAATAATTATTTTTTAGTTAATAAATCTAATAGAAAAGTATCATCAAAAAAAGAAGAATTTTTGTGTCCATGGAAATGAAAGAAATTAATGAGAGAAAGGATTAGAAGAAGTAATAAAGTATTTTTTAGAATTAAAAAGAGAAAAGTTTTTTTAAATAAAAGATTTTTAAATATTAAATTTATATTAAAGATAAAGTGGGATTTCTTGGGACGGATTAGGTTTACTGTGAATGAAGTGACGTGTTATTGAAATTTAAATATGGCTAAATATAGAGGATCGATTTTTACTTGTTTCGGGAAGAGGGTACTGCAGAGCACTTTACTTCCAAGGTATTGCAAGGCCAGGGTATCGAAAACTATAACTTCGTTCAAAACTATCGAATCTGGGACGCCCTAGTATGTTTCGATGTAACTCGACGAGCTGAATCGAACCATATCAGAGCGTACCGGGATCGACAACCTTGAACAAAGTTATAGCTCTTCAACACCTTGGCTTGCTACTTATGGAAAATAATATTCATAAAATCAAGCTCTGATACTGAAAGTTACTAAAAGTATGTATTATACATACATATATATATTTTTTGAGAGAAGAATAATAAAAATTTAGATTAAAATATTTTTTGTGTAAAAATAAAATAGTATTTATGTATTGTAGAATGACTTAAATTTTTCAAAGAAATATTTGTTAAAAGTAATATTAAAAAGAAGTAAACTTAAAAAGATAAAAGTTATTTAATTAATTTTTTGAAGGAAAGATAAAAAAATAGAGGAAATACTAAAAAAAGTTTAAAAGTAGAACCTTTTTTTAAAAATAAAGTGATGTTTAAATAAGTATATTTTTGACAGTTATTCATAAAACAAATAAAAAATGAAAAGAATTTTTGGAAGTTTCGAAATAATTAATAAATTTTAAGAAGGGGAAGGGGGTGGGGGAAGGTGGAAAGAAAATATTTGATTACATACAAAAGAATGGAATTTAATAATATTTTTATTGTTGAAATAAAAATGGAATAAAAATTTAGTAGATAAAAATTAAACTAAAATTAACTTTTGAATTAATTTAAATTTTTTTAAATAAATTAATTATATAAAAAATTTTTGATAAGGATTTAAAAGAAGAATTAAATGACAATAGAAAATTGTAAAATAAATTATTTAAAAAGATAAAAAATTGAAAGAGAGGGGAATTTAAGAAAAGTATTAGTGTTTTTAAATTTCCTGTTACTAATTAAATTAAATTTAAAAAACAGTTAGTTTATTTATTAACAAAGTCAAGGTCACAATTATTAATTTTAAAAATTTTTTATTTCCGTTAAAATAATCCCCAAAACTTTTTTAGCTAGAAACAAATTGTGTTTATTTGTGCGCAATCAAGAAACAGAAATAAAAAAAAACAAAAAAATTGATGACATTTTCGCTAAATTTTAGTTAATATTAATTTATTTGTATGGGAAAGGAATAACGGAAACAATTAATTTTGTGATAAAATGAGAAGAACACACGAGGGGTAATATTTAAATTTATTTTTTAAGGAAATATCCTAAAGTGGAAATTTACAAAAAAAATATTGTTTTCTAAACAGATTAATTTGTGTTTTTTATAAAAATTTAAATTTTATTTATCTAAAAACAACAAAAATATATTTATTTAAATAAAAATAATTAAGTTTAGATTAAGGAAGAAGGCGAAGCTGTCAGTAATTTTACGTGAAGCGAATATTGAAGGCTGATCGAGGGATAAAATTAAACCATAAAAATGTTTGGCATTAATAATGGGAATATATATTTTAGTAGTAAAGGGGTATGGGGGGTATTTATGAAAGTATTTGTGTCCACAAAACTTTTCAAAAAAAAAGTTTGAAAAATAGCTAACTTAACTACGAATAAAATCACGTTAAATATACGCACTCGGGTCTTAAAAAACAAACAAATATATTATAAACTTAGCTGATTTGGGGTAGATACTTAAATTTTAAGAGAATTAAATAGCCTAAAAATAAGTAAAAATGTCGGCAGTTCTCTTTAAATTTTTGTTACCGCTAAACATATATTTTCCTTCAAATCAATCGAAGACGATCAATCTAAAATTAAACGGTTGGTTAGAAAAAAAAGAAATTTTTAGTTAGAAAATATATGTTAGAAGAGTGCAACAAATATAAACATACATATATACAATTTAAAATAAATTTATTTTTAGATTTAAATTATAAGTCAGAATTGCCAACCAATTTTTTTATTTAAAATATTTCTTTAAAAATGTTCACAAATTGGGATTAACTTAATAATTATTTAAAAAGTGTTTATTTACTTATTTAATAAGGATGAGTAATATATACTATAAAAAATAAATTTGTTTTTACATTAGTAAATGTAACGAAAAAAAAGAAAATATTTATGTTTTAAATATATTTGTTCGTAAAAATTCTTTTTTTCATTTGCAAACTTTTTTAAAAAAATTTTCTCATTTAATTTTTCCACCTCTTTTGTTTAGTGTCATCTGCCCGCCGATACACACAATTAAAAGCAGCGTGAAAAATAAATGGAAAAGATTCGCGCAGGTATTTAAAAAAAATAAGTAAAAATTGTGTAAATGTGAGGAGAGAGGAAGAGACAACAGGTATTTGAAAAGAAAAGAGAAAGAAATGAATTTTTAAAAAATAATTTTTTTTTGATGGATTTTATTTAATTGAAAGAAAATGTTTGATTTTTAAATATTTTAAAGAGAAGCTTAAAAATGAGAAAATAAAATAAAAGTGTAATTTAATCTATCCATTTGTTAATATTGAAAAATAAAAAAAATAAAATTTAACAAAGAGAAAATTAATTTTAAAGAGAAAATACCGCTAAATATTAGTGAGAAAAAATATTTTTTTGGTTAAAGAAAAGAAAACTGGTTAAAAATTGGTAATTTAAAGAAAAAAAAGTTTTGTTTTGAAGACAATAAAAAAGGGAAAAACAATCAAATGCTTAAAAGAATATTAAAGTTGACAAGGAAAAAATTGTGGGAAGAAGGCTAAACAAAGGGTTAGCAAAATAAAGAAAACAATGTAAAGGTGTGTAGATTTATAAAATTATATTTATATGTTAGCTAACTAATCTCCTTCTTATATCGCTTAAAATTTTTGTTAGAATTGGGTAGTAGTTTTAGTAAATATTTTAAAAATAAAAAGAATTTTTACAAAAAAATAAAATTTTTAATATAAAATTTCCCAACTTTTTAGTCACCACAAAATGGCGAGCTAATACACACTACTACAACCACACAAAATGAAAAAAGTAAGGCGGACACTCATCGGATGCTGTTTTGGATGGTGTTTTGCAAGGCTATGGTTAGGCGCAGAACAATCGATGCGATTTTATATTTATGTGTGTGGTTGGGGGTATTTAGTTGGTGGTGGTTGAGAGGGAGTGAAGGAAGGAACCATTTGAGTAAAGTTAAAATTTTGATAAGAAAGTTTAAAAAAATTGTTGGGAATTATTGAAAATACCTACACATATTTATTAACTTTTAATAGAAAATTAAATTTTACGTACGGATATTTAATTTATAAAGTTATAAAAGTAATTGTTGGTGAGATTACAAAAGACTATCCCCCTGACCATTTTGAGCCTTCTTGATTGATCTACAATTTAGCACATATCATTCGAAAGAACTCTTCGAGCTGGGTAGAAAGATACCAATAATTTGGTAATACTTAACGAAATTAAGAAGCTGGATCCTCTATGTGAAAGCTTTTTGTTCCTCGGCAAGGGATTAAAATAAGTGATCGAAAAGCTCTTTCGAATGATATATTATCCATTACAAGATAACAGATGTTGCAAAAGGATTCAGGAAAATGGTGGGGGGGAGGGGGTCTAAACCGAAGAATTACCAATAGAAACATTGACATTTTACTTATGTATATTCAAATAAATAAATTAAAAATGTATTTTTATTTAAAATTTAAATTAATAATTTGTTTAATGATGACAATTTTTCCTGTCAAAAATGATTTATTTAACGAGAAATTAAGCGAAGATATATATCCTCTTTTTCTTTGTTTTATATTTATACAACTAACCAAAACAAAAATATACATATCTATCTAATCATCAAAACATTCCCCCCAACAAAACACACAAATATATTCCTTCTTCCATCCTTCATTTCTTAACCAATTTGCTTTTAAAATTGAGTGGTTGTTGGTTAAGCAAAAGGCGCCGCGCATCTGCAGCCAGCTGCTACTACTTTAAATTTAGAAAAAAAGAGGGGGGAAATTTGTAAAAATATTTTTTTGTAAAAATGTGAACACAAAAAATTATGTAAATAATTGTATATATTATACTAAATAGTAATGAAAATATATATTTATATTTTAGTTTTTTTTAAATTTAATAGATAGTAATATATGTAAATCGAATTACTAAAAATTAAAAAAAATAATATTAATATCACATCCGATAATAATAAATTTATGTAAATTGTATTTTTAATTTACCTATATTTTAGAATGAACTTTACATACTAAATTTAATCATTAACCGAGTATGGCATGAAGAGAATTTTTCTTTTTTTTTCCATTAGGGCTTCCTTTAGTCCTTTAAGCTATATGTAGCTTATCTAAAAGCCCATAAAATTTAATACAAAATTGTCCGAGTTTCAATTAATCCAAAAATACAATCAATTCCCGTTGATTTCTGAGATTCAAGATTTCAATGAAAAAAATAAGAATTTTTGCATTAATTAAAGTAGGAAGACCTGCTGTCTCTAAACACTTTTCCCCCTGAAAATCGAATCGTCTTCGGTAAAATCATTATAATTTTTGTATAAAATTTTAAGAATAGATGTTATCAGTAGATAGTCAATGGTTTTAACCTTTTAAAAATTCTTTAGAAAAAGTAAAGCTATTTCGTCCATCGCTTTTATTTTACTAATTAAGAGATTTAACAACTTTGAGATTTAACAACGTTAGTGTTTCTAAACATATTGCCGCCACTGTACATTGTAATAAAATTCATATAATTAAAAAATAAGGCGAACTTTCAAAGATTTTTTTAATTTATAAAAAAATATTTTTTATAAAAAATTCTTTATATTTATAATTTCCCTCGTTATTCATTTTGAATGACTCAATTGTCAAAATAAAAATAAATGCTTTTACTAAAATCAATATGCGTTAAATAAATTTAATAATTAAAAAATAAAATGTAAATTAATTTAAATTTTATAGAAAAACAAATGCCGGTAATTCAATACCCAGAAAATATCCAAACATTCTCCACAACAGTTGGACTTTTATATATTTTTAATTTAATTGTTGGTACAGGGGCGTTAACACTGCCTAGAGCATTTCAATCAGCTGGTTATCTTCTTAGTTTAATTTTGCTTTTAATTTGTAAATTTACAAGGTTTTTAATTTAAATTTAAATATATTAAAGGAGTGTCTAAATCTCTAAAATACATCAAAGTATTTTGAGAAAGATTAATCCAAATTTCATATAACATTTTTCATTAATTTCAAAGAAAAATAGAGTTAATGAAATATACTTGGATAGTCTATACCTGCCAAAATTATAAAAATTGTCAAAAAATATTTAAATATAGATAAGATAAATTAGGTCCGATATACAAAATCGGGTGTCTTGTTAAATTAATTTTTTAAGTTTTTATTTGAAAAATTATTTAAGATTTATTTCAAGATTTCCGTCCTGTTTATAAAAATTAGACAAAAATATATTTAAAAATATTTTCAATTAAATAGTGTAAAAAATAATTAATTTAAATTAAAATTAGTTATATCTGTGCTACATTTGTAATTGAAGCTTTGGCAATTGCTAATTATTTATCAAATAAACCATTAAATAGACAAACTTGTTCAGATGAAGAATCCCCAATTTTATTTGAAGAAAATAATGAAAATAATTATATTGATAATAATTTAAGAGAGGAAGAAAATGAAGAAAGGAATGAACAAAAATATATTTTAAATAAAAGATTTGAATTGGTTGGGGAATTTTTTAAAATTATTTGAGATTATTAGAATATTCGGAAAAAAGAATATTAATATCTACATAGTTAATATTAAAAGGGATTTCTAATAAAAAAGTAATTTCTCTTCAAATCAGGCTCGTAGCCAGGAGGGGTTTTTTGGAGTAGAAAATCCCCCCTTCCCCTCCCCGAAAAAATCCTAGCTACTGGTCTGCCTAACAGAATTTACTTTTCCTTTTTTCACTATTTACTATCAGATTTTCGAAAATTTAATAAATTGAATACCCCCAAACCCTCATTGTGAACGCCTTCCTCCCTATTTAACCCTTATCATAATCAATCCCCCTAATTTTAAAATTTATATTAGGCAGAAATGTCTCATTTATTTCTTGGAACAGGAGGGACAATATTTACCTATACAATATTAACAATTTATTTATTTGGAGATTTGGCTGTATATTCTACAATGGTTCCCAAATCTTTAATGAATATTATTTGTTCTACTTTAAATTCTTCTGCCTCTTTAAATCCAAATTTGCCTTGCCATAATGGACTAGATAATTGGCTAAATTTATTTAGTCGATTTTTTGTTTATCAATTTTGTATTTTAATTTTTGTTGGATTTTGTTTTCCAATGGTTTGATTTGTTTTTAAATAAAAAAATATTATTTTTAAAAAAGATTTTATTGGGAATGACTAGAACTAAATGGTTACAATTATCAACTACTTTATCTAGATGGACTGGTTTGGTTTTTCTTTAAAATGTTTCCAAAATTAAACTCTAAATTTTTTAATTTTTCTTTATCGGTCAAGATTTGATAGATTTTTAGAAAATTCTAAATCTCAATAATTAAACGTGAATACCTAAAAGTATTTTTTTCTCACTGAAACTCACTGAACGGACAAGCACTAAACGACAAGTCGCGGAATTACCAAAACACGGAATATTTTTAAAAACAGAATTCAAAAAAATCTGAAAAATTCTGATTTCTAAATTATTCTGATTTTGGCATTTCCATGACGAATCACGGAACTTGTCGTTCCGTGATTTGGAATTCCTCGAGTTAGCCTCCCACCCATTTTTTACTTAAATAAAACGATTCTAAATATTTGTTTTCTCTCATTAAAAAAACTTTTCTATAAAAATTATTTTAAAAATTCCTTTCTTCTTCTTTAAAGCCTTTATTTTAATGATTGTAATGGCCACAAATTTACTTTTGCTTGATGGCCCAAAAGGACATCCTCCACCAATTAATTTTCATTCTTTTGGTTCTTTATTTGGTGTTGCTGTCTATGCATTTATGTGTCACCATTCAATACCTGGATTAATTTCTCCAATAAGGGGAATTAAAAATAATTTTAATAAAAAATTATTTTTGATTTATTCTTTAATTTATTTGTTTTATTGTGCATTGTCTTTAACTGGCTCGTTTGCTTTTGAACATGCACAAGATATTTACACTATTAATTTTTTGGTAAATTTGTGTATTTATTTAATGATTATTTTAAAAAAGATTGGCATTTACTCTGAATTAGGGTTGAGCGATATCGGGATCCCGACCGATATCGGGCAATATTATATCAGTCTCTTTGAATCCCAATACCGATTTTGCTGATACCGATACCGAAAGGCATAAACCGATACAGGGCCATTATCGATACCGGGCTTTCTGTAAAATATGCACTGATATAGGGGATATATAGGGGATTTCATTGCATATTTTGGCATTTTCTGTGCATATTTTGCCATGCCCTATTTATAAAATAATTTCTTTTAATTAAATTTAATTTTCAAAGCACGAACAAACAGAACATGTCAATTTGTGGGATTCTTTAATTGATTATTTCCTCGCTTTATTTCCAGTTTTTGTACTTACATCTTCATATATTATTGTAGCAATTACTTTATGTAATAATATGAAAGTTTTATTTAAATTATTAATTAATGGAAAATTTGGAAGAATTTTTATTAGAAGAAATTTAGATAATCAAGAAGAGGAAATACTTACAAAGTTTTTAATTTAAAAATTAATTTAAAAAATATTTTTTAGTAATAATATTGATGATAATGAACCTTTACTTGGTGGAAATGAAAATAATAATTTAATTGAGGAAGAACAAATTAATTTTCATTCATCAACTTCTACATTATTAAATAATTTAAATTCTCCTCCTCAAATAACAATTAAATTATTTTTAAGAAAATATGGAATTCCTTTAATTATTCTGTTAATTCCTTCATTAATTTCGATGGCTACAGATAATGTCTTACTATTAGCTTCAATTACTGGTACTATTTGATTAAATATATAGTTAGTGGAATGTAAATAACACCTTCGGGAGCTAATTTAGTTGACGTATGAATGGAAATAGCGTTGTCATTGTTGAAAGTAAGGTTGTCGGATAGTTGGAAATTTCCGGATATCCGAACCGAAAATTTTCGGATATCCAGCCTTTTTTCAGATCCGGATTCGACACCCTTAGTTGAGAGTAATATTATCGAGAGATTCCACTTTTTACGCGTATTGAATCCTTGTAGTTTTTTTTATCTTAAAAACCTCAGAATGGAAGTTGAAGAAATAAATAACCGAAATATTTTTTTAAATTTTCTACAAAAAATTTCAATTAATTTTTAGGTAGTTTTCCCGGTGTTGGTGTTCAATATATTCTGCCAGCTTTGTTAATTTTAAGTGCCCGAAAAGCTCTTTTCACAAAAATTGGTTCAAACACAATTCCATTAAATTTATTATCTTCTCCATTTACACATTGGTTATGGCCTATAGGAATTCTTTGTTGGGCTGTTTTTGCAATTTTAATTGTTTCTTTAAATATTTTTCATTTAGGATAAGTGATAATTTTTTAAAAATATTTTTGTCTTTTTCTTTGAGTCTTTCCCGTTGATTTTAATTTTATCAAATTTTTTGAAAATTTTTATTGTTAAATATATCTATAAATTACACTCTAACTTTTTTTACTTTTTGGGATATATTTTCTGTATTAATTCTTTTTTTATAAAAGTTAGAGCGTATTAAACTTGCTATATCTTTTTATTTTTGCATTTATTTAATAAATATTAATTTTTGTATTAATAAAATATTTCTTCTACAATTATTTTTAACAAAAAGATCATGCCTAAACGGACGGTTAAAACATAGAATGGTAGGCTGTCCGAATTGGCCAGATCAGGCCTAAACGGACGGTTAAAACATAGAATGGTAGGCTGTCCGAATTGGCCAGATCAGGCCTAAACGGACGGTTAAAACATAGAATGGTAGGCTGTCCGAATTGGCCAGATCAGGCCTAAACGGACGGTTAAAACATAGAATGGTAGGCTGTCCGAATTGGCCAGATCAGGCCTAAACGGACGGTTAAAACATAGAATGGTAGGCTGTCCGAATTGGCCAGATCAGGCCTAAACGGACGGTTAAAACATAGAATGGTAGGCTGTCCGAATTGGCCAGATCAGGCCTAAACGGACGGTTAAAACATAGAATGGTAGGCTGTCCGAATTGGCCAGATCAGGCCTAAACGGACGGTTAAAACATAGAATGGTAGGCTGTCCGAATTGGCCAGATCAGGCCTAAACGGACGGTTAAAACATAGAATGGTAGGCTGTCCGAATTGGCCAGATCAGGCCTAAACGGACGGTTAAAACATAGAATGGTAGGCTGTCCGAATTGGCCAGATCAGGCCTAAACGGACGGTTAAAACATAGAATGGTAGGCTGTCCGAATTGGCCAGATCAGGCCTAAACGGACGGTTAAAACATAGAATGGTAGGCTGTCCGAATTGGCCAGATCAGGCCTAAACGGACGGTTAAAACATAGAATGGTAGGCTGTCCGAATTGGCCAGATCAGGCCTAAACGGACGGTTAAAACATAGAATGGTAGGCTGTCCGAATTGGCCAGATCAGGCCTAAACGGACGGTTAAAACATAGAATGGTAGGCTGTCCGAATTGGCCAGATCAGGCCTAAACGGACGGTTAAAACATAGAATGGTAGGCTGTCCGAATTGGCCAGATCAGGCCTAAACGGACGGTTAAAACATAGAATGGTAGGCTGTCCGAATTGGCCAGATCAGGCCTAAACGGACGGTTAAAACATAGAATGGTAGGCTGTCCGAATTGGCCAGATCAGGCCTAAACGGACGGTTAAAACATAGAATGGTAGGCTGTCCGAATTGGCCAGATCAGGCCTAAACGGACGGTTAAAACATAGAATGGTAGGCTGTCCGAATTGGCCAGATCAGGCCTAAACGGACGGTTAAAACATAGAATGGTAGGCTGTCCGAATTGGCCAGATCAGGCCTAAACGGACGGTTAAAACATAGAATGGTAGGCTGTCCGAAAGTTTCAAAAATTATTGTTAGCTAACATTCGAATCAAAAAAGTATTCTAAGTGGTTTAAGATTGTTTTTTATTTCGAGAAAAATCTTATTAAAATTTTTTCCAGTTATAATTCTTTGTACTAAATTAATATAATTTTCCAAACAAAGATTTAATTTAAATATTAATCTCTCATAAAATTCCAAATATATTTCTATTAAAAATAATTTGTGTAATTTATCATAATTATCGCTAACGGGTGAAAGAAGGAGAGAAGATGCACGACTCGCGCACGAATCAAAAATATTTAATTGTGATATTCTTTTTATTTTTCTTTCAAATATTCCCGGATCTCTTCTTCTCTTTATTAACGTTTTGCAATGAAGAAAGAATATTATTTACTTTTTTTCAAAAATTCTTTCAAATTTACTTTTAATTGATTTATTAACGGCATAATAAAAATAATTTTAATTAAAAGAAATTAAAATAAAAATTAAAGTAGAAATTTATTTTGAAAATTTTTTAAAGAAAATTAATTGTATACGAATTATATTTTGTTACAAGATTGGTAAATACATATGTATATTTAAAATTTTCAGATATGCCTTTAATCAAAATTTAATTTTAATCTAAATTTAATTTATTTTTGGTTAAGTTTTTTGGACATTACAAATTCATTAAATAAAATTTAAGTACTTAAATAGACTTTACTATCTCTAATTTTTTAAATTATTTTTAAAAAATTCTACTATAAAGTTCTTTTAACAATTTATTAGTCAAAATAAAAAGATTTTTCTAACGTTAATCAAAACAAACAAAAATATGTACTCACAGACTGGTCAGTATGCGTAAAAATATTGATGAAGCTGGACAAAATAAATAAATATATATTTGTTTAATTTAAGTCGAAAATAAAAGTATATTTTTTTAATTCTGATTTTATATTTAAATTTTTAATTTTAAAAAATATTTTCCACAAAGTAAAAAATTTTTATAATTGTGGTTATTAAATTAAAGCGGGGCTCCGATCGACAAAATTGTGCCTAATTTTTGGCACCGAAGGCGGCAAAAATTTTGATTTTTTGCGCCGCAGGCGAAAATTTTGAGAATTTTGGACCCAAGAAGCTAGATTTCTTCTTTTTCAGCGCCGCAGGCGAAAATTTTGAACATTTCACAAAAAATTAACTTTTTTTGCCCAATGTCTTCCCCAATTTCATTTTTAATCCAAAATGTTGATTTAAAAGTATATACTTTCAAAAAAGTACAAATTTAATTTCGTAAGTATGGAGGTTGATTTAAAAGTAGAATACTTTTAAAAAAGTATGAATCAGAGCCCTGAATTAAAGTATTTTTTAAAATATTAATAAATCTATTAATGTAAATGTGCCCTATATAACTTTTATTTTCCAACCTTTTATTTAACTTTCCCAGATATTTACTATTTTAATTGTTCAATTTCTTCATTTTTTAAATTAATTTTCGTTTAAAAAATTAATTTATATTCAAAAAGTTTTATTTAAAACTTTTCTGGGAAAATTTAAGAATTCTACAAAAATTTAAATATAATTCTTCTAGCATTTCTTACAATAAAAATTCCATTATTAAAAATTCCTTTATTTTCTGTGTCATTTTAATTTTTCTAATTTTACTCGCCAATCAATCAATTTTACGAAGAAATAAAATACGAAATGCGCGAGAAAATTTTTTGACTTTTCTTTCTTTTCTCTTCATTTATTTTATTGCAAAACAAAAATTGAAGATCCGGGATTTAAAGAAAAGAAATGCGCGTTGAGAATTATTTAAATATTTCTAGTTAGGTCTGTAACTATATGGAATGGAATTTTAAATAAAGGGAAGCATGAAGGGAAGCAAGCTTTTACTTAAATATTTTAGTAAATGCCGACTCTTGATATAACGAATGTCTCTTTATAACGACCCTATGCACTAACATAGATTTCTTCTTAGTTCTTTCCAGAGAATAAATTTAAATAATTTTCGAAATTTTTATATTTTTAAGTTAAGTTTCTTAAAATAAAGCTTTGTCCAAGATTAATCAAATTATTTGTTCATAAAAATTAATTTAATATGTACTAACAATTCGAAAAATAAAAAAATAATTTCCTTTACAAAATATACCTATTTATTTACTACAACAATTTTCTTCCAAAACTCCTTTCTTTTTTGTTGTCTCAAAAATATATTTATTTATATAAGGAATGCCGTCCATTACGCACTGCGCGACTTACTACAATTTTCCCCTCCCATAATTTTCTCATCTTTCTCTTCAGATTTATTCCTTTTCCTCTTCAATTCATTTTACAAAATCGCTTCGCTTTCCCATATTTTTAATTTTTTTATTTTCACTTTTGACTTGAAATTTGTGTTTTGATTTTATTTTTGGATTCTTCAAAATTTTAGGTTTTTATTATTATTAAAATATTTTCTTAAGAATAAATTTGTTTTTAAAATAAATTTTTTTTTCATTAAATTTATTAGTTTAAGTTTTAGTATTTTCCTTAAAAATTTAAAAATAATAATTTTTAATATTTTAATATAAATATATTTATTTTTATTTTTTCTTATTTTTTCTCAAATCTTTATATATTTTCTTCTTTACTTCCTCACCCCCCCCCCCCCCCCCCTTCTCCTCCTCTTCATTGTATATCCGCGCAGAATCAGTTTGAGCAGCACAGGTCACCACCTACCTTCCTATCCAAATATATACTAAAACCCAAAAAAGACCGTCCACCATTGATGGTTTACCTTCAAAATTAGACCAAAAAAGAAGTGATGACCTTCCTATTTATTTGCCCTCTCGACATTTTATCCAACACACACAAACATTAAATAAAAAAGAAGAATTTTTTAAATTCTAATAAATATTTCTTTGATCAATTAAATTAGTACAAAAAGCGTCATAATTAATTAAATATTGTAGAAATTAATGAGAATTACTAAAAAGCCTTGAATATTTTTTTAAAATAAATTTTTTGTTTAAAAAAATAAATGTAGATTACTTTAATTAATTAATTAGTACCCAATTCTTCTTAAATTAGGTAAATACAATCAAAGATTTTTTTAACACAGAATTATATCTTAAAAAATAAATTAGTTTCCCCCACAAATATTTGATAAAAGATTTTTATATTTATTTAAAGTATAATAGAAAATATTAAAAATAAAAATATTAAAGTTTTTGAAAGTAAACTTTTGGTATAGTCTTTCTTGAACAAAAATTAAGTTATTAATTTTAATTGTTTTCCCTTCAAGACCACCAAGAAAATTTTTTTCTGTCAAATAATTGAACGCTTCATTTAATTTTTATTTAATTTAATATTTATCTCTTTTTTCGTTACCTAAAAAAGTGTTCACTTTTTTCTTTAAAAATAAAAAATTTTTTTAAACCAGTTTTAAAACTTTTACTTTTTTTATTTTAAAAAACAAGTTAAAAATTAAACAAAGAAGTTTAGGTATATCAAATACATATTATATATTTTTTTTAATTTAAAATAAATAAAAACAAATACATACAATTTAAATTTATTTTAAAATATGTAATATTTTACTTGTATTTCCAATAAAAGGAAAATATGAAAAAAAATTATTAGTAAATATTTATTTTTACATTTTTAGTTTTAATTTTTATTTATTAATTTTGTAGATCTCTTTTCCAATTAATTTTAAAAACAAAAAATTATTTAATTTTGTCTAAATTTATTTATTTTCTATGCCTTCTTCACCAATTTTGCTTTCATTATCAACAATATTTGCTTTGATTGGATTTTCACTTGTTGTATTATCTACATTTTCTGACCAATGGTTGGAATATCAAGTACTAGCTTTTAATTTTAATTATTTAATCAAAAAATAAATTATTTTATTTAATCTCTCGTTAAAATTAAAACCTTGACCTGCTTTTAACTAAATAGAATACCTACTTATTTTTTTATTTTAACGGGCAAATGTTAAGGGAAATTTTTTTAAACAATTTTACTAAATCTTAAAGTATTATTTAAAAAAAGATAAAAAATATTAAAAAAAACTAAAATAAAGTATCATTTAAAATTAAAGGTTGATCGCAAATTTTTAATAGAAAGGAAGGCAGAATTAGACAAAAAATATGAACGGCATTTTGTCTCAGATCCTCTTTTTTATTCACGTAATCAAGGATTGGCACATCTTTGTTTTCCTGATTTAGTGCCGAATTGTTTGTTTTTTAATTTTTATTTTCTAAATACAATCGTTCTTTACATGGCCCCGGGAGCCAGTTCGGCCATTCAATTTTTCTTTATAAAAATTGGAACTTGATTAAAAAATTATTAAATTCTCAATAAAATTTCTTTAAATTTAGCTATTGGATCTTATTCTAAATTTGGTTCTGTATGTATTACTAGCCCTGATTTATGGCCTGATTCTGCACAAACACAAAAATATAATGGAGCACAAGTAATTTATTTTTAAATAATTTAAAAAAAATAATTTTTGTTATCCTAAAATCTTTAAATAATTCGAAATAATCAAAAAATTAATATTTTAGATGCAACGTTTGTGGATGCAAAGAGGAATGATTTGTTTATTTATTGTTGGTTTGTGTGTTTGTGTATTAGCTTTGGGTGTTGGAATTGTTGGTTGTTATAGAAGAAGTCCTAAACTTGTTGGGTGGACTGCAATGATGTTTTTACTTTCGGGTAGGAAAAAAGGAAAGGATTTTTAAAAATTAAAGTTTTTTGCAGTTCTCTTTATGATTTTTGGCATGCTTCTGTGGCACTATGTAAATTATATGGAGAGAAAAGTTTTGGATATGTATCCCTTCTACCAAGATTGGCCTCGAGTATTTTCTCTAAACATTTATTTAAATAAATTTGTAAATTTCAAGTCATTAAAACAAGCTACCCGAATAACTTTTGGTTGGTCGTATATTGTTTGTTGGGTAGGTATTGGATGTTCAGCATTTACTGCCTTTCTTTTATGGCTTAGTCGGCGTGCAATTCGGGATGAAGAAGAAAGTTTATATGAACAAAAACATGCTCAATATTTGCAACAACAATATTATGGAGGGGGAGCTCCCGTAAATTTTAAATAAAAATTTATTTAAAAAATTTGGGGCTTATTAAATCTATTAGTTTAATTAAGCTCTTTAAATAATACAAGTAATTCAAAATCCTTTTATTACGGAGTTTTGTGTTTATATAATTTTGGTTTGTATATTCCGAGTCAGTATAAAGTTCGGTTATATTAAATATATTCTTAGTAGCAAAATTATATTGTTTCCAATAATAATATTAATTCAAGAAATTTCAAAAAAAATTTTCTCAAATTTTTAAAGTCTGACAAATCACTTGTTCCATTAACTGCCGCTACACTTCCCCCTCATTATGGTTATGGAACTTATGGCTATGGAGGTTATCCTGCCTATTATGGGCAATATGCAGCATCTCCATATGGATTATATGGAGGATATTATGCACCTGTTTAAATCAAAAATTCTTGGAAATTAAAAGAAATTAAAGAAAAAAACGAAATTAATAAAGCCATTTTAATTTTAATTATTTTTAATATTTTGATAATTAACCTCTTTCTTTTTATTTTTTTTTTAAATTAATTTGTAATTTTAATAAATTTGTTTTATACATATAATCTCTCCATTATTTATTTGCATAAAAATAAAAAAAAATGTTTTTGTAAAAGTAGGACCCGGTACCGTGACTAAAGACCCCCCCCCTCATCTAAAATAATGACTAATCGCAAAGATAGGTAGATAGTCCTTTTAATTTCTATTTATTTTAAATAAATTTATTTAAATTAAAAACAATATTTAAAAAAAAATATTTTATTTTTATTAGTTACACCTAATTCTTCTCAAAAGTTGGGACCTTAATAATTCTGAGGCTTCATTTCCAATAAATACATGTGAGGGATTATCAACAAGTCGATGAAGTAGTTCACTAAAAAATTAATTAATTTTTTGAGAGTCTTCTAAATATTTACATATTACTAAGTTGCCCAATACTTAATGCATAAAATTGTAAATTAGGTAAATTTCTAATAGCCTCTGCCTGCTTAATTGCATCATCCTGAGAAAATCCTTTAAAAAAATACAAAATATATTCAGAATATTATACTAACCATCACTTAAGAGGACTACAATTATTGGGACCTAAAAAATATTTTACATATTATAATTCTCAAAAAGTACCTGTCGTCTACGTTCTTCCAATAATTTAAGTGCTTGTTTAAGTGCTTGACCAATATATGTTGTTCCAGTTATATGTCTAACCTTTAATTATTAAAAAATATTAGTTAAAATTTATTTTAATTAAATAAATTGTAAAACAAAATATAAATAATTTTCCTTCCAAAAAGCCATTTATTTCCCCTAAAATAATATTAAAAATATCGAGAAAACAATTTTTAGTCCAAAATTTAATTTAAATAAAAATTATTTTAAAAAAATTAACGTTTTTATGAAAATTTTCCATCATTTGCCAATTTTTTCTAAAATGATCCCATTCCCATTCAATTTTCTGTAAATCAGAACTGGCAAATTGAATTAAAGCTACTCGATGTCCACATAATTGATTTAAATTTATTTTATTTTCATTTAAATCATCATTTAATTCAATATTTTCTAATAAATGTTGTAACCATTCTTTTTGTGTTTCATAAATTTTGTGAACAGACCCACTTGAATCGACAATAAATAAAATATCTAATGGAGGGCAAACAACTAGAAAAAGAAATTATTTAAATAAAATAATTAAAAAATATACACCTCTTTGTTGAGTTATTCCAAATGTTTTAGGTTTTTGTTGAAAAGGAATTAAATAATTATTTTTTGTTGTTGGGGGTTGTTGAATTGTATAAAATTCTGTTGTTGTTTTTGTTGTTGTTGTTGTTGGTAGTATTTTATATTTTTGTGTTGTTTTTGTTGTTTCTGTTAAATTTTTGTTTGGAATTAAATTTTTGAGAATTTTTGTTGTAAATAATATTTTTGGTGCTGTTGTTGTTATAACAGGTTGATTAGTAGTTTTTGTAAATTTATTTAATCTATAAGAAAAAAAATATTAGAAAATAAAATTTAAAAATTAAAAGAGATTAATGATTTTGCTAAAAATCTAGTAGCGATGTCCACGGGCACAAAAAATCCCGGTTACCATACTGATTACAGCATTATCAATTAATATTCGGTAAAAGAATAAATCAAAAATTATTATTAAAAAAATTTACGAGAATATTTTTAAAAATACCTAAAATTATTTTTTAAATTATTAACTTCCTCTTTTTTACTTTTTTCGGCTTCTTCTCTATTAATTTTTTTAATTTTATTAATCATTTCCAACATTGAATTTAATTTTAATAATTGTTTATTTTGTTGTTCTCCTTCATTATTAAATTCAAAGAAAAATTCAATCGAAGGTGTAGGCCTTAAACGTTGTGCAATTGCAACAGGTAATTCAACTTTAACTGGAAATGTTTTTGGTAATTTATTTGTTGTTGTTGCTAGTGTGGTTGTGGTTGTATAGTTATTATATTTTTGTGTTGTTAAAAATGAAGAGGATGAAGGTAATAGTAATGGTTTTTTAGTAAATGATGATAAACCTTTAATTTCAAAAAGTCAGGAATAGCATTTCCAGTACTGGCATTTTTTCTTAACATATTCTGAGAAATTTATCTTTAGGGGACTAATTTAACAGCCTCTGGTCCTATCTTTTTTCCGGCACTGTATGTATCGATACTTTTTTTAATTTATCACTCGCCCCCTGTAGGTTATTTATAAAATAAATATTCAAGTCTATCTCTCAAATATAATTATTTTCAGTTAATTCTTCTACCTAATATTGGTCGATATCGAGAAATTTGAAAAGAGGGCGTAGTTATAGAATCTATTGTTACTCCAGTAAATGGTCTTCTAATTTGGCTAGTTTGCTTTGAATTTTCTAAAGGATCAAAAACATCTAGTTCATCGGCATTTATTAAAGACGGTATTTTAAAAGCTGCAGCATTATTAAATAATAAAGCCTGTTCTCCATCAATGCTTATATCTTGCTTTAAAAAATATTCATTTTAATAATTTAATAATAAAAAATATTTTTACTTCATCTTGTTTTGAATTTTGAGACATTTTATTATTAAATTCTTCTTCTATTTGTGTATTTTCATTTCCTTTTACTACAAAATATCCAAATATTTTCTTTCAAAAATTAAAAAATAACCCTCAAAACTTTTTCCAAAATTTTTTTGTTCTTCCATTCCTTCCTCATTTTTATTTAATTTATTTATTTCTTCATTTCCTTCTTCATCTATTCCAAGCATTTCAGCTGCCTCAATACGCCTTTGTTGCAAAAATGCTTCAGCCACAAAATTATTATCATTTGATTCTCCAATATTATTATTTAAACGATCTCTATTCTCTGCTAAAGCAAAAGCACCCCCATTACTTGCTTTACCAATATTTTGATTTGTAGACGGGCCATTACGCCTTTGCCCATTAAATGCTTCATCCCCAATTCTTGAACATGCTCTAGCACGTTCTGCTTCTGTTAAAATTGATTCTCGAAGTTGAGGCAATTCTTTTTGGCTTTAAAAATTAATAAATAGATTAACTAATTTTTATATAAACCCCCTAAGGGTTTAAAAAATTAAAAGTTTAAGTCCGTCCTAAAACAGACCCATCTAATATAGTAGTTTTCTTTATTTTATTTAGGGCTTTCAACATTTATTTCAAATTTCTCACCTAAAAACATTATTTTCATCAAAATTAGAATTATTTGTTTTAATATCAATAATTGAGGCAATAAATATTTTAAAGTCTTTTATTTCATTTAGTTTATGTTCAAGCATAATTTCATTAAAAATATTTGGATTGTTAGTAAAAATAATAATAACCTTAAAGAAAAAAAATAAAATTTTTAATTTAAATTATTTTAAAAAATTCTTTCTACCTTTGCTGCATCTTTACGTGTTTCTCTATCCTGCCTAAATAATTCTGATTCTGCTTTACGTAGTGCATATCTTTTTTTAAATACAAAAATAAATTTAGAACTTTTTAAACTACCCAGTTCTAAATGTTTGTTGAAATTGTAATTTTTGTCGAATATCTTCACCCAAAGAAAATTCTGTTAAAGGAAATCCCAAATATTTTGCTGCTGCTACACGTATAGCATCCTTTTTGAAGAAAAATTATTTTTTAATATAAAAATATATAATCTATAATACTTTCTTTAATTAAACACCCAGCCATTTTATTTTACAATCACTTCTTAGAGGGAGATTATAGAATATAAGATGGCTATTCAATTAGAGAAAATATGTTTACTTACATGCTCTAAAGGAAGTGATTCCATTAAAGATATAGCCCAACGTACATGTTCTATATATATTTTATCAATATTATCATTATTATTATTAGAATCAAGAAGGAAAACAACATCTACTTTTGGTTGACAACGTTCAACGACAATTCCCTCATCTTTAAATAATTTTAGAATTGTATAGAATATTAATATTTGTATTTATTATAAAATTTCGGATAACAGTCAGTATAGGAGAGTTGGGACATCAAAAGTTCAGATAACGGAAGGCAGATTTTACATATGTATTTATTTAAAACTCACTTTTTTGTCTATTAATCATTTCTATCATTCTGTTTTGCCTTTTTGCTTCATTTTTATAATTTATTATTTCTTCATAATCATCTTTCCAACGATTTTGTCCAGTATATTTATAAATTTGTTTTTCATTTAAAAATTTATTTTCATCATTTTTAGTTAAATTAATAATTATTTCTGATTTATTTTTAATATTATTTTCTGTTTTTAATTTAGTTAAATTTAAATTATTTTTTGTTTCACTTTCAAATAAATTTGTTTCAGAATTATTATTTGGAATTGTTGTTTCTAATATTTTATTTTCTGTTTGAAATTCTTCCTCTTTTAATTTTGATTCTGTTATTGTTGTTTTCTCTAATGTTGTTTTTAATGTTTCTTCTGTTGTTTTTATGTTTGTTTCTGGTATTAATAATTCTGTTGTTTCAAAAGTTTTCCCTCCTTTTTCTGTTGTTGTTTCTTTTGTTTGTTCTGGTTTTTCATTTAATTCTGATGTTTTTGTTGTTGTTGTTTCTGTTGTTTGTTCTGGTTTTTCATTTATTTCTAATGTTTTTGTTGTTGTTGTTTCTGTTGTTTGTTCTGGTTTTTCATTTAATTCTGATGTTTTTGTTGTTGTTGTTTCTGTTGTTTGTTCTGGTTTTTCATTTATTTCTGATGTTTTTGTTGTTGGTATTTCTATAGCTGTTTTTGTTGCTTCCTCTGTTGTTTCTATTTTCTCTATTTTTATTTCTGTTGTTGTTTCTATTTTATTATTATCAATAATTTTTGCTATATTTAAATTATTAATTTCTTCATTTATTAAATTATTCTCAAAGTTTTTTTCTTCAATTTTATTTGAAATATTTCTTAAAAAATTTTCTTCTTCTTCATAAGGCTCCCTTGTTGTTTCTATTAAATTTACTGATTTTCCTATGATTTTTGTTTCATTATTTCCCTCATTTCTGTCCGTTATTGTTTCTTCTTTCTTATTTTCTAACAAATTATCACCAACATTTAATTCTTCTTTTGATTTATTTAACAAATCTTTTATTAAAAATTTATCTAAACCTTCATCAATTTCTTCATTAATTGTTTTATTTAAATTTGTTTCATTATTATTTATTTTTACTACTAAATTATCCTCATTATCAACATTTTTATCATCAAATAAATTATTTGTTAATATTTCTTTATTTAAATTAAAAACTTCAGTAATTCCTATATTTTCTTCATTTTCATTTATTTCTTCACCAGACCCATCCTTCTCAACATCATTTTCTCCTTCTTCTTCTTCCTCTTCTTCATTCTCTTCAGATTCAATTTCTTCATTATTATTCTCCAATTTTTTTATTTTTTCTGATTTCCTATCCAACATTAACAAAGAATCTAATTGTTCTGCACTAGCATCTAAAACATCTCCTCCTTCTCCTTCTCCTTCTTCATTTTCAATTTTGTAATTTTGTTCATCATTATTTTGAATTAAATTTTGTTTTTCTATTTCCAATTCTGTTGAAAAAACTTTCTTCCCTTTCTGCCCTAACAGAAGAAAAATTAAAATGTAGAAATAATATTGAAATGGAAAGGAAAATTTAATTAATAATAACATGGTAATACTGAAATTTATAATAAATATTAAAATATGTATATAAACTGATTAAAATAAAATAATTATAGGGGGTTTCTGAATATTATTTGTCTTTTGTTGAATTAGAAAAATAAATTTAAAATTATTTCAACTATTTAAATAAAATTTTCAGCTTTATTTTTAAAGTTTGAAAAATAAAAACCTAATTAAAATTAGAATGTTTACAGAATATTTGTAAGTGAGAGTTGTGCTATTTTATTAAATAATTTTTAATTATTCAAAAATTCCTTAAAAAGTGAAGAGCCAATTTTATTTAAAAAAAATAAATTCTTAATCCTTTAATTATTTTAGCTTTTCTCATATTTTTATTTTTCTCCGTTTTCTCATCAGAACATCAATCAGCCAGCCGAGTTTTACTTTCGTTTTTAACCTTCACCGCGAAATGCTGCTTTTCTTGAAAAAAATGGGTCGTTGTTTTATTGGCGTAATCAGTGGGAAAAGAAAAAATAAAAAATTAAATATCAATAAATAAAATTGTTCCGGCACTGACTATTAATCATAATACATATGTAAAAATATTTTTATAAATTTTAAAAACTAAGATAAAAATCGAATGAAAGTAAATGAAATTTATAAAATGAACTAAAAGTGTAAATTTATCCCAGCCTAACAAATAAAGCAAAAATGAAGACAGTAAGTGGTGAGATGGTTGAACAATCATGCATTGGAGAGCCTTCAGGATCAAATCACATTCCATCTTTTTCCATATAGGTTCGGCCACATTACTAACTCTTTTGACGAAAATTCAGGCTTACACATGCTCATCAATTCTGAGGAAGCTGAGTGTCCATTAAAAACAACAAATAAAAATTTTATTGACAATTTTTTAAAATTTTTGGCCTTATTGGCGATTTTAATAAGCGAAATGAAGAGAATGACTCTTATTTTCATGATAAATTTTACTTATGTATTTAACTCAGTTTTTAATTAAAATTTTGTGTTTAAAGAAAAAAGTGAAGATCAAGACATCCTTAAGATAGAAAAACCTCAAGAAAAGTTTTGAGCTGAATGACTTAAATTTTGTGAAGTAAGAAAAACAAAAAAAAATTACAATAAAAATATCCAAAAATTTATGTATGTACTCTGAATCGTCCACTTTTTTGTACTTTAAATTTACTCTGAATTGGCTACACTGAAACGTTCACTTCCGGTTTATTTGAGCGCTATTTTTTCCTCGCTATAACAATGAAAAATTATTTTGTGTTTATCTTCCTTCTGCTTAAAAAAATTTTTTTTAAATGTTTTTATTTGATGACTTTTTTTATTTTTTGCTCATTTATGAGTAGGGACAGCCAAAATATGCACGGAAAATCGCCAAATATGCGCATATATATGCACCGAAAAAGCCCGAAATATGAACCAAAATATGCAAAAATTGCCAAAATATGCACTGAAATATGCAGCAAAAAATGGTGAAAATGTGGTTTAAAAATCAATATTCAATTTAAAAACATTAATTTGCCTTTAATTTTACATTTTAATAGCACTACTAAAAGATTTAATGGATATAAAACTTGCAAAAAATTTTTGAAAAAAATTTTTTCTAAAAAATTTTTCGAAAATATTTTTTTCGAAAAATCATTATAAAAAAATTTTTTACCAAAAAATTTCAAAATTTTGATCTATTTTTGGCAAAATTTTACAAAAAATGCCAAAATATGGACCAAAATATGCAAAATTTGCCAAAATATGCACAAATATGCAAATATGCACGATAATGCCGAAATATGCAAATATATGCATTAAGAACCGGTTCCTAAAGTGCTCGGACCGATATAAAAACACTATTTTTGGGCTTCCCACATCAATGCATATCCGCATCCAAAACATGCATTTGCATGTTTTGGCTGTCCCTATTTATGAGAAATTAATCTAATTGTCATTACTTTATTTAGATTACTTTTCAGGACTTATTTTTATGATTGCCATATAACTTTCATCTAATTAATAAAAAATTAAACTACTGAATTAAATGCCGAAAAGAAAGCGAATTTTAATTGATTCTGAAGACGGAGAAGAAATGGATTCTGAGGAAGACGAAGAGGAGGTTTTGATTTTTATAAAATTTAGTCTTATTTTTAAGTAATTTAAGAAGGAATCTCGTCGTTATCCACGCCGGGCTATCAGTAAACTTTCGTCAAAAAATCGTCCTTTGCGTCGGTCACGACGTGTGAGACGTCCATTGCATATGTTTACTGAAGATGAGGAAATGGAGTATGAAGAAGATGAGGAAGAGGTTTTGTCTTGTTTTTATATTTTAATATAAATTTTAATAGGAGTCTCATCGATATCCGCGCCGTTCACGTAATAAAATTAAAAATGAAGAAATGATTTATGAAGAGGATGATGATGAAGAGGTATTGGAGGTACTGTTTTATTTTGTAGCATTTAAATTAATTTTAGAAGGAATCCCGCCGTTATCCCCGTCGTTCTAGTAATAAAATTAAAAACGAGGAAATGGTTTATGAAGAGGACGATGATGATGAGGAGGAGGTTTTATTTTTTGCCATTTAAGTGCAAATTTTAGAAGGTATCTCGCCGTTATCCTCGTCGTGCCAGTAATAAAATTAAAAATGAGGAAGTGGTTTATGAGGAGGAAGATGACGACGAAGAGGAGGTTTTGTTTATTTTTTAATAATTTAGCCCAACTTTTAGAAGGAATCTCATCAGTACCCGCGCCGGTCTAGCAATAAAATTAAGGAAGACGAAATGGATTATGAGGAGGACGAAGATGAAGTTTTACTTTATTTTTTTTTCAATTTAATCCTAACTTTCAAGGAGGAGCCTCGTCGATATCCACGCCGTTCAAATAATAAATCAAAAAGTCGTCCTCTACGACGATCGCGTCGAAGGCGTCGTCAAGTTTTTGGGACTTCTCGTCGGAACAATTCATTGTTAAGTTCTTACAAAATTAATCATTTACAACGACTTCCGCTCAATTCTGTTCTGGATATTCGAAGAAATCAATGTTTGTTTTCTTTTTTTTCTTATTTTTTTATCATTCATAGCTCGTTCTGTCGTTCCTCATCGACATCGTAAACTTGACCATTGTTCAAGCAGTACTGTTTCATCTACATCTACGTCCTCTAATGAAGCACCAACTGAAGCACCTATTGGTAAACGTACTACTCGTCATCGAGCTTTACCGAAAGATTTACGCGATGAAGCTAATTTTGAAAAACGTAAACTTCAATCTTTGATGAAAGGACGGCGAGAGCTGATGCCTATTAATGTAAACGGTATAGTTATATTTTGACCATAAACACAGTTTATATTCCATAACCAAATCAGACTCCTTTTTATGAACCTAATAAAATTTTGTGATTATTTTTTAATTGAAGAAAAGGAAGCAAAAACTTGTTCAATTCTTTCTATGGCACAGGAAAATGTTCGTCGTAAAGCTAATCGTTCAAGTTGTGCTGATATTGATCCTATGAGTATTGACCATGATGTAGGCTTTGAGCAAATTGGTGGACTCAGGTCTTTTTTAAATTTTTATTTATGAAATTTAAAATTCAAATATTAAAGTCGACATATTCAACAACTCAAAGAAATGTGCCTTTTCCCAATGCTTTATCCGCATGTTTTTGAACACTTCAGCATTCAAGCACCGAAAGGGGTTCTCTTTTATGGACCACCTGGTTCTTTTATCGTTTTATTATAGTATATAAAGATATTCTACTTTTTAGGTACCGGAAAAACTTTGGTGGCTCGTGCTCTGGCCAACGAATGTAGCAGATCTTGTGAGGGAAAAAGTAATTCAACTGAAGATACAAACATTACTTCCTCTTCTATGAGAAAACGTGTTGCATTTTTCATGCGTAAGGGAGCTGATTGTTTGAGCAAATGGGTAATAAATTTTCTTAAAATTTTTCAATTATTTTTCCAAAAAGGTTGGCGAGTCAGAACGACAATTACGACTTCTTTTTGATCAAGCTTACAGAATGAGACCTTCAATAATATTTTTTGATGAGATTGATGGACTTGCACCGGTTCGTTCTTCACGTCAGGATCAAATTCACTCATCAATTGTCTCTACACTTTTGGCTCTTATGGATGGAATTGATTCACGCGGAGAGGTTTTTTGAATGATTTTTTTGTTATTATTTTCGTAATATATAGGATTATTTTTTGTATTAACAGGTATGGGCGTATCCAAGGGTAGAATTTTATTTCTACACCTCTGATATTTAATTACAATAAATCATAATTAACTTGTAGAAAATTTTAATTTATTTCATTAGGTCATTGTTATTGGTGCAACTAATCGCCTTGATTCAATTGACCCAGCTTTACGCCGGCCTGGTCGCTTTGATCGTGAATTACGTTTCGATCTGCCTGACTGTATAGCTCGCAATCAAATTTTACAAATCCACACACGCAAATGGCCAGAAGAGTGTCAACTTTCTACTGAATTGCGTGAATGGCTGGCTGAGGAATGTAGTGGTTATTGTGGAGCTGATTTAAAGGTTAGAGCATCCAAATCTTTATTTAATTTATATTTTAGGCCCTTTGCACAGAATCTGTATTAATAGCTATGAGGGAACGTTATCCCCATATTTATTTGAGTGAAGAGAAATTACACCTTGATCCTACACAAATACGAGTATCTCGTCAACATTTTGTTGATGCATTACGAGTTATTTTACCAGCTTCGAGAAGAGGTTTTTTTCTTTATTTTTTTAATTTTATGTTGAACTTATTTTTAAAGATGGTACATTAATAAGTATGACTCGTTCTAATAAAGCGAGTTTGCTTACTTTGATTATGCCCACAATTAATGAGCTAATGACCTCTAAAATCCCAGTTGGTTATCAACGGAGAAATGATGATGAACTTACTACTTACAAGAATGGAAATAATAATTTATCGAGAGACCAGCAGTTGGAACAAATTCTATTAGCAATAAAAGCGCGATCTTCAGTACCTGCCGGTATAATATCTAATACAAAGGGAATGTCTAATATAACGGAATTTAGCTAGGTTACTGCTTCACGGCTCTAGTAACAGTGGACAAGGAACTCTTTTTTTCTCGGCTCTTCTTTCTCGACTTGATCATTTACCAATATTTTTACTTAATTGTGAGCAGTTATTTTCTGGAGGCATTGCTGGAACTCCCGAGGAACAAATTCAACAGACTTGTAGAAGAGCGCGTCTTTCAACTGGTCAAGGAACGCCTGTTGTTTTGGCTATGCCTGATTTGGATGTTTTAGAGGAGATTTTGCCTAGACCAAGTTGGAAAATGGTCAAACTCATTAAAATTAGTTATCTAAAATTATTTTCAAATGTTTCAGTTAATCTCTTCATTATCCGCTTTTACGGGATTTAATTCGGCTCTCTTACTTGCAGCAGTTCAAAAAGAATATGAGTACCTCTCTGATGATATAAAACAACTTTTTAGATCTCGTCATGCTTTTCCTATTTTATTGCCCAATTACAGTGCAATTCAAAATTTCTTCGATGCAATTGTTAAACAAGCTACTGAACATCCCTTCCGTTTTAAATGTAAACACGTTTTTTTATATATTTTCAAATTTAATTTTAGCCAGAGATTGCCCAGAGCCGCCGAAGGCCCAACATGTAGATCCTTCTCAACAACCACCTATAAGACGTGTCACTAAAGCTGAGTTCAAAGAATTAAATAAAATCTATTCTCAAATGTTGCGAGAATTTCGTATATTTCTCCGGGATTTGTTGCGTAAGTTTTTTCCTCCATCTTTTTCTAGTTAATTGATTTTTTCAGGTCAGTTAATTCGTGATCAACGTTTTAAGTGCTTCCATCTTCCTGTTGACAAATCTGACGTTCCAGATTATTATGATATTATCAAGGAGCCTATGAGTTTAAGTCAAATGGTTTATTATTTTTCTTTGAATATTTCATTTATGTCAAGAATTCATTTTTTATTTTTTTGCAGATGCTTAATATTGATATGCTTAAATACGATTCACCTGAACCGTTTATGCATGACTTACGTCTTATTCGTGATAATGCAATCGAATATAATCCCGACCATGAGATGGAGGATTTACAAATCAAGCATACTGGTCGATGGTTAGTAGAAATGGCAGAGGCATTATTTGAGATGGAGCTGAACGACGATTTCAAGGAGAAATTAGAGGTATGGAATCTGAAAAATTTTTGATTTTAAAGCAAATTATTTTTAGGATGCTCGTAATCTTATCGAAGAAGCTGCGCACAGTTTAGACCAACAAAATAAAGATCAACAAGAGAAAGTCAGCAACACCAATGAAGATATTGCCCAACCTCTTCTTCCATCGGTCACTTCAACACCCCCAAAAAACAGCGATAATAATTTGGAGGAATCATTACAGAATGGCCATGCTTCCGTTGAGATTCCTGCGAAGAGGTCTAAAAGAGAACGTTCTTCGAAAAAATCATCCGTTGATAATAGTGAGGCTTCGTCCTCTAAAACTATAAATTCAGCAGAGGCTTTAGAAGTAGAAGAGAAGGAATGTTCATCTCCGTCTTCCTCTAATTCCAATCATTCAACTAATGGATTTATTAATGGATTCATTAAATCCTCATTAAATATTAATGGTGACTTAGAAAATGGTAGAGATAATGCTGTTGAAATAGAGCAAGATTTTATATTAGATCTGCATAGTTTAAAAACTGTTGTAGAAAAGGTATAGAGATTAGTCCAATTTTGTCTATTAATTATTTTAAGGCAGTAGTTAAATCAAGTACAGAGGCATGGCATGTACCTGCAATTGAAAGTCTTGGTAAATTATTTAAATGTTTTCTTAACTTAACAAAAACCTAAATTTAGGTGCTGAATTGGATCAGATTATTGGTGAATTTAGAAATGAATGGAATCGTTCCCAGCTTCCACAGCGACTGTTAGCATGTATTGAGAGCTTTCAAATTTAAGCAAAATCAGTCTTTTAATCTCCTTTATTTGAATTATTTCCATTTTAATTTTGATAATATTTTTCTGAAATTTTTGATTGTGTTATAAATATAATGACTTGACAAAATTTTATTGTAATTTCTCATTAATTGGTAAAAACCTCTTAAAATATATTTACATATTTGTACAAAATTTAAAGAAATCTACAATAAAACTAAGAAATCTAGAAAAGTTAAAAAATAAACGTGAATAAATGACAAGAACCCCATCAGTAAAATTTGATAAAGTCGATGAGTTCTCTTTTCTGATTGCCCCTCTGATTTTACAGTTGTTGTTATTGGCCAGGGCCAAATAGCGGGAGTAACAGATGGAGAAAGAAATTGAACGTTGCCGGTTGGTCCTCCAGCAACCACGGGAATTGTACAACATCTTAAATATTGCCTTATGATTATGGATCTTTAGTTTAAAGACTAACGTTCCTTGCACGCATTCTGTGCTTGGATTCTTCTCAATGCAAGCCTTATTATCTGTGCATGGCAAATTAGTTGTAAACCCATGATTTGCGCAAAGACCCCACATTGGACATGCTAAAATTATTATAAATTTTTATAACAACCAAACACTTCTCAAAAAAATAATTTATAACTTACGCCAATCTGAATGAAAAATATATGGGGGAATACCACAAATGTATCGGGAGAATTGACGTTTTTTGCGGATAATCGTTTCTTTTGTATTTTTATCTTGAACTACAATTTTTTCTTTTGTGTTTTCTAATCCCGCCGTTATGGGTGGATTTAATAAATAAATTGAAAAATATGTCAAAATTGTTAAGAAATTCGCTAAATACTTTTTCATTTTTAGATTTTGTAAAATAATTAGATAAGAAAGGATTTTAAAAATATTATTTAGTCTCTCTCACTCACTCATTGCCTCGAATCACCCTCCACTCAGTCAATATATTAAATTTTTTGTTGGCACAGCAGTCACGTATACATATTATATTGATTTAATGGATTGTAAAATTACAAAAAACAAAAAATAGGTATACAATTTAGGTATTTCTGTATTTTACAGAAATCCCCCCCCCTCCGTTCATTTACATTTAATTGGTTCAGACTCGGTTGTCTCCAACGTTTTTACTTATTTTGTTTTATTTCATTTTTCAGTTTTTACATTATTATTTTTTAGATATATTTTTCAGAATAATTTTATAAAAAAAATGTCAATTTTGGATAAAATAAAGGATATTGAGGATGAGGTTTTTAATTAATTTTTTTATTAAAATAAAAAAAATATTTTTTAGATGGCTAGAACTCAAAGAAACAAGGCTACAATGGTTTTTGTTATAATTTTATAAAATTAATTTAAAAATTCTAAGGGCCATCTTGGTTTGTTAAAAGCTCGGCTTGCTAAATTACGGAGGGAATTAATTAGTCCGAAAGGTTTTTTTATTAAAATAATTTTTAATAAATTCTTAATATAAATTAAACATAAGATATATTTAAATTATATGAAATACATAGCAAAAAATATATCTATTATGTAGAAAAAACTTATGAGTTAAAAACACTTAAAAATTAATTAGTTAAATTCTCATATTTTTTAATTAGAAAATTTTAAGGTGGTGGCGGAGGTGGTGCTGGTGAAGGATTTGATGTTGCCAAGACAGGCGATTCGCGAATTGGTTTTGTTGGTTGGTTAATTTTTTTAAAATTTAGAAATTTTGGCAGTATACGGAATGAATGCTTTTTCGTTTTATCCTAAAAAGTTTTTTTTCTTTTTGTTAATTTTGTTGTAAGTAAAAAACAAAACAATTTATACACAAAAATAAATAATCGAAAATAAATAATTATTACATCTTTTCCATTATTTTTATTTTGAATCTTTTTCTCGATCCGAAAATCGGACATATTTTTCATCAATATTTTTAAACAAATTTAGATCTAAATTGTTTTTGAAAAAATTAAAGAAAATTTTTTTTTTATTTTTTTGTGTACAAAGGTATCCTTTTGTTCCATTTTCCTAACACCAAAATCAACAAACAAATTATAAAATAAAAAGATTTACCATTCCTATTTGAATAAAAAAGGCATTCATTTCATATACAGCCGAAATTTTTTTTAATTTTAATTTAATAAATTAATTTAAAATTACTTTTTTCTAAAATTTCCTTCTCTGCTTTGAACGGGAAGGACTGATTCCACTTACAATCCAATAACAAACTAACATCTTCCCTTCTAAATTCTTTTTTAAATTTATTTTAATTTTCTATCAAATTTAATTTTTTAAATTTTTTTCATAATTTATTTAATTAAAAAAATAAAATTTAAAAATCAAAAATATTTTTCAAAAAAATCACAGAATTATTTATTTTTATTTTTCTTCAAAACTTTTTGTTGTTTTTTGTATCATTGGAGATTCTAAAAGCCTTTCATAATGATGCCTTTCCAAAATTGTATTTTCTTCTTCTTCTCCTTCCCCCTCCTCTTCTTCATCACTTTCTGGACTACTTGTTGCATTACTTTCTCTTTTTTTATTTTCTTTTTTATTTAAATAATTATTTGAGGATTTTTTTATTTTTTCATTTTCCTCTTCTTCTTCTTCTTCTTCATTTCCTAAATCTAATTCTGAATCTGTTTCACTTGCCAATAAAAGTAATTTTCCGAGAAGCTTTTTTTTATTCTTAAAAATTAAATTTTACTGATTATATTTTTCCCTAAGAATTTTTTCTGGACTTTTTTTAAATCAAAAACCCTTTTCCCCGACTCGTATCTGATAACTGTTAATCAATTTTTCAATAAGGATTTTCTTTATTTGTTTTTACATTTATTTATTTTTTAAAATATTTTTGAACCTTATTTTTGAGAGCATCCAATAATTGATTTTTGGGGGTTACTGCTGCTAATGGATTTACAATTATTGTTTGTTGATCATCACCTAAAGGTACAGGAGTATCTTCCCTTGTATCATTAAAAGTTTCTTCTTCCCCTTCCTCGTGTTTATCGTCTCTACTTCCCCTTCTAGAAAGTGGTCTATCAAAGGGATGTTGTTGTTGTTGACCTAATCTGGATTGAGGCCTTTCATATAAATCAGAGGAAGCAGTTAAGAGGAATTCACCTCCATTTGGTTTATTCTAAATTAAATTTAAATTGTTTAATTATTCCTTTATTTATTTTACCCTAAATATATCTTTTGTTGTATGTTTAGGCACATTTGATGAATGCTCAACAGTATTTGTTGTTGTCCCTTCATCCAACAAAACAACACTTGGAATGTTTGTATTTATTGTTACCCCAGTATTCCCAGAAAATGAGAATCGTTTATTTGATGTTTTTCTTGTGGGTGTTGTTGTTGGAGTTTTTGTTTTTGGTGAAAATCTGAAAGTCATTCTTTGTTGTTGGTCGTCATCAGATGAAAGAGGTGAACGAATATTATTTGGGGAAAGGAGAAGACTATGCCTTTTTTGTTCCATTCTTTGTTTATTGTTTGGATTTGATAGTAAAGAGGATTGTCTTCTACGTCTACTCATATCTATAATTTCAAAATCTCCTCCTCCACAACCATCATTAAAGTCTTCATCGTCAAAACGGCTGTCTTCCCTTGGAAGCTATTAAAAAATTTTTTAACTCTAAAATTTAAAAAAAAATACTTGTGAGTGATCACACATAAAACTATTTTGATATGCAGTAACTGAACGAGAAGAGGCAGAAATAGCTTCTTCATCTAATTCCATTTTATTTTCTTCATCATCTTTAATTTTGTTATTTTCTATCTCAATCCCAGAAGTTTTTGATATTTTTTTAATTTTTTCTCCACTACTACTTCCTCTTTTCCTCCATAATCTTTTTAAAGAATTTGATTCTCTTCTACTACTTCTTAAAGATTTAGATTCTGCTGAACGTTGTCCACTTGTTAATTGTCCATCATCTTCTCTATTATTATTTGAAGATGTTGAAGCAAATAATCTATCAGTACATGTTCCATAATTTCTTGAACTGCTACTTTTTTTCTTTTGATTTTCTGTTGAGGGAGTTGTAGTTCCGTTACTTTTTGATGTTTTTTGACGGCAACGAGTTTTTGATATATCACTTAAATTTTTTAAATATTTCTGTATAGTATTTATTTTTATTATTAAAACTCACTAAATTACTTTGGCGACTGCTATAGTACAACATATTGTCATTAAAATAGCTATGACAGCAATAATTATGATCAATCTATAAAATATATATTTTTTTGTTAAATTAAAGAATTTTTTTATATTTTAAAATATTTTTTTTCATTAATTTTTACTTCATATTATTTGCTGGTGGTCTCTTCTTTTTTAATGTTTCAATAGCAATTTGTTCTATTTTCACTCCACCTAATACGCGTGGAAGTGGTGCAGTTTGTGCCGAAAGTATATATTTAATTGTTTTTGGTGGTAATGTTAATGATGAATTAATACCACCAAAAGTATTTGCAATTTTTAAAACAACAAATGAAATTTGTGTTCTGACTCTTCCTGGTAGGTAAATAACTCGAAGAATAACAATGTTTTCACGTGTTAAAGAAGGACCGCCATCGTCGATTATTAACGGTGTTCGATCTAAAATAAATGTTTTATTCATTCATTTTGTTCATTTACCATTTAAATTGTCCAATTCTCTTGAACTTGTTTCTAATTTCAGTCTTTGACTTCTTAATTCCGCCAAAGTACCAGGACATTCATCAGGTACCGTTTCACAATAACGGTTCAGTACTTGTGAAATTCTTCGTCTTAAGTATTGCTCATGCGTTTCATTAGTACGTAATAAGGCAGTTAAATTAAAATCACGAACAACAATTTTGACTGCATCAAGACTTTTGCCCTATAATTTTTTAAACTTTTCTATTAACTCCAATACTTACTCCAATAAATTCATTACAATTCGGAATATTTGAAGAATCTAAATTTCCCATAGAAACATTACAAACACATTCATGTTCATCTCCAACATTACAAATTAAATCTTTTTGTTTTCTTTCTTCTTTTTCCCTAAATTCTTTCCTTCTTTCCCCTTTTTCTTTTGTTGGAAATGCTTCCAAAATAGAAATAGAAAATAAGATAATAATTAAAAAGTAAAGTTGAGGTTTTGTTTTATTAATTATTTTGAAGTTTTTTGTTGATTTTTGTTGTTTATTAAATTTTGTTTCTATTGTTTTTATTGCCATTATTAAAAAATCTGAAAAGTTAAAATTTATTATTAAGAAGAAGAAAAGTTTAGTATATATTTTTTGAAATTAATTTTTAAGTAAATAAAAAAAGAACATAAAAAATAAAAATAAAATTTAACTATTTAGTAAATCCAAATCCCCCTCGACATTTAAATTTTTGCAAATTTTATTAGAAAAAGGAATGCAAGTAATCCATGGAGAATAAAGGCCATTTTTTAAACAAATATTTTTTTTATCATTTTCAAAATTAGTTACAAATATTTGTGGAGATTTCCTTTTTTGGATATGTATTTTTGGAAGAAGTTAAAAAATGGCAAAGTTAAATTTGTTTAAATTATTAAAAAATATTCAAAGATTAAACAAAAAAATTTTTTAATTTTTAAGGAAAAATAAGTAAATTTTATAATTAAAAAAATTCTGTAAAACTTGAATTACAATGATTTGCCCTTCTATTTTTTATTTCATTAATTTAGCCACTTCTTAAAATTTCTTAAATTACTTTCTCTTATTTTTCTTTGATCGAATTTATTAAAGAAAATTTTTTTTGAACTTTTAGAAAATTTTTAACCATTTGGATAATTAATTTTTCAGCAGTTAATAAATTTATTTGAAATAAATAAATATTAGTCGTCATTTGTTGTTTTACTTTTCTACACTTTCCTTTGTAAATTATTGATGTATTTTTTTATTGAAAGAGGGTGGCATTTGTGGAACAGATTCACATTTCTTTTATAAAATTTTAGGGTCTAGTAAAGTGCAAGTAAAAAATATATTTCTTGGCGTAGCTGCCAGCAGTGGCTGCTGCTTGGCAGCAATTCTTTTTTGTTTTGACTACTAGTTTAGAAGGGGGAATATTTGTCTCATGTTTCTGTCAGTCACTTCAGACTGGCTAACTATTTTTTTGTTTTTCTTACAATGTTTTTAGCTAATGTAAGGCAATGGCATAGTTAGAGTGTTAAGCTTTTAAAGAAATGTTCTCTGTTAATAATTTGCGGATAAATAATTTTTTGCGGAAATATTTTTAATTTTTGAAAATTAATTTGTGGAACAGATTTATCTGATTTTTTTTCTATTTATTTAAAAATTTAAGAAAATTATAAAAAATATAAAAAAATATTTGCAGTTTTTGCAGCGTTTTCACGTTTTTATCGAACGTCTTTATAATATTTCTTTGCGAGAAGAGAAAGGGATAAAAGCAGATAAAGGGTTAGTAAAAAAGAGTGAAAATAAATAAGAAATAAATATGTATAGGGCATCTTTGCCAATATATATTTTACACGCAGACAGGCAAAAAATAAAAATATTCTTACAAAATAGCCCCTAGAGAATTTTAAAATGGAGTTCACGTAGTAATATTTCAAATATTTTATTTCAATTGTATTTTTTGTTTTTTAAAGTTTAAATTGTCTTGCAACTATTTGTTAGGTTTTTCTTTAATTTATTGAAATAATGGACTAAAGAGGATTTTGAAAATATTACAAAGAAATATTCTAATTAGTATAAAACTAAAAATTAATTTTTTACTAAAAATTATTTATTTTTATGAATTTAATTGGGTAAATATTTAGTAGGTATCATATCTCTGCAGAAATATTTTTTGGATTTTTTTACTAATATAGAAAATTAATTGGAAATTATATGTCCAAAACACAACTAATTTAAATGTAATTGTCAGTTTTTCTTTTTTTTACTCTCAGCGTGTATTTTTGTTTGATATTTTTCGTATTAGTATAGTAGGTAGATGAATTACTTAAGAATTTACGTGTAAAAAGTGTTTATGCGTTTGATATTTAAAAAAAGGAATAAATAAAATTGAAAGAATTGAAAGGAGAGAAATTGGCAATAGCTTTTTATGATATGTTTATTTTTCCATTAAGAATTTCGGTTTAAAGTTGTATTAGTTAAGGAAAAATGGACTTTTTTTATTGAGATATGAGAATTTGGAATGAATTTAAAGTATTGGGAATTTTTTTGTTGTTTTTTTACTTTAAAACCAGCAAAAGTAAAAGTTTTGTCTTATCAGTTTAGATTAAGTCGATTTATTTTTCTTCTTAGAGATGATTAGAATTTTGTTTTTAAATGATTTTTTGATAAGGAAATATTTACACGTCCTGGCAAAAAATAAATTTATTGGGATTAAGTAAACAATAATCAATTCGTTCCCATGGATTCAGTAATTCTATTGTTCACCGGGAGCATTGGCATTTTCACTTTTACCACCAACAAATATCTAATAAACTAACAACGTTCATCCTCTCGCTGTCGTCAACATTTATGTAGATATTCAATAGTCGTAGGAAAAATATTTTTCTCGTCCATTTCCTTTCTTCTTTTAACATTTTTGTTTAAGCTTTTTGTTGTTGTTTGGTGTGTGTTGGCTTCTTACAATTACTTGGCTTGTTAGTTGGGTATTGAAGGATTTGGAATAAATTTACTTTAGATAGTTTGTATTTAAAGTAGAGTTTGTAGTGAGGGAATATTGAAAGTTTTTTTGTTTTTGGGTGGAAAAATTAATTTAATAAACACAAATTTGAACTTGAGGATTTTTTAATTTATCTATGATCATATTATTTATATTTACCTATATTAACAATTTTGAGGGTTGGATGGGAGTCCCAAAAATGTCTTTTACTTTTCCAAATTAACAAAAAATTATTTACTTTAAAAATTCCCTTATTTTTTTAAAATTAGGTTTCCCTTCTGTTGGAAAATCAACTTTACTTTCAAATATTTCTGGTGTGCATTCTGAAGTAGCTGATTATGAATTTACAACCTTAACTACTGTCCCAGGACTTATAAGATATAAGGGAGCTAAAATTCAACTTTTGGATTTGCCTGGAATTATTGAAGGGGCAAAGGATGGAAAGGGTCGAGGACGGCAGGTTATTGCTGGTAAATAAATTTTAATTTGATAAAAAAATGTATAATAAATTGGCTTTTTATTGTATATATTTTTCAAATTTAATATTTTTTAAACTTTCAGTTGCCCGAACTTGTTCTCTAATTTTAATGGTTTTGGACGTTACAAAACCTTTGAGACATAAAGAATTATTGGAATATGAATTGGAAGGTTTTGGAATTAGATTAAATAAAACCCCTCCAAACATTACCTTTAAAAGAAAAGACAAAGGAGGATTAAATTTAAATTGTGTGGTATTTAAATTTATTTCCTTAAAAATTTCCTTTTTCTCTTTCTAAAAAGGTCCCTCAATCAGAATTGGATTTGGATACCGTTAAAGCAATTTTAGCCGAATATAGAATTCATAATGCAGATATTACACTTAAATACGATGCTACAACTGAAGATTTAATTGACGTTATTGAAGGAAATCGGTCATTTTAGACTAAAAATATTTTTGATTTAAAAAAATATTTTTTAGTGTTTATATTCCTTGTATTTATGTTTTAAACAAAATAGATCAAATAACAATTGAAGAATTAGATATTCTTTATAATATCCCTCATTGTGTGCCTATTTCTGCACATCATAAATGGAATTTTGATGATTTAATGGAGAAAATATGGATTTATTTAAATTTAATTAGAATGTATTTAATTGAATTAAAAAAATTTGAAAAAAAATAATTTCTTTTAAAGTTATACAAAACCAAAAGGTCAATTACCTGATTATGAAACTCCAATAGTTTTGAACGCTGATAAACGAATAATGGAAGATTTGTGTATGAAAATACATAAATCGCTTGCTAAAGATTTTAAACAGTTGAGGAGGGGAAATTAATTTTAAATTAAAAATTTTTTCAATTTCAGTGCTCTTGTTTGGGGCAGAAGTGTTAGACATACACCACAAAGTGTTGGAAAGAATCATCTTTTGGAAGATGAAGATGTTGTTCAAGTTATTAAAAAATAAATTTAAAAAATATCAAAAAAAAAGTATTGTCTTTATCTTTGTGTTTTTCTTTGTTAGAATATATTTTTGTTATTTCCTTTTTTATTTGTTTGTCTACTAAATTTTTTTTAAAAGAGTATTTTTAATAATTTTCAACACAATTTGTTTTTTTGAAGTTTGTTGTTGTTTAACACAAAATAAATTAGAGTTTAATTTAACAAAATTAAGAAGGCTTAAATGGATTCGGTGGATTTGTAGGGATTAAATGGTACATTGGGAGGGATCAAGAAGGGTTAAGGGGATAATCAATGGGTTGATAAAGATAGAAATCGGGTGATTTGCGAGTATTAAGTGGATTTGGAGGTATATCAGGTTTTGAAGTATATCGGGGATATCTGGGAATTGCATGGATGTATATAAAGGGATGTCATCTAAATCGTTCTTAATCCCTCAGTCCCCCACCCACTTAATCCTCACAAAACCCTCGATATCTTCCTAAATTTTTCCGATGTCCCTCTTAATCACCTATATCCCACAATGTCTCTTAATCCATCAAAATTTGCCTCCCTCGATATTTCTTCAAATCTAATTATGCACTATAACTTGCCTATAAAATTTGTTTACAAATTTGAAATTAATGTCGCGGACAGCGACTAGTGATTATTTCATAAATAATTTGAAGTTTATTTTTGTTAGTTAGCTAAAATTCTTTCTATTGAATTTGCCCCGTCTTTTGTAATCTAAACTTACATATTTCTGTCATTCTTTTGTATTTAAAATTAGGTAGTTCTATTGTAGTAACTAAGCGCATCTGTTTAATTCCCTTTTTATGTACCAGCCGCCATTCATTAACTTATAATTTTTGCCCACATTTGGAATGTTGTTTACCTTTAACTTTGTCTACCCGCCTATTTTTCTGGCCTATATAATCCCCCCCCTCCAAATCCCAAGGGGTTTCTGTTTTTGCGTTTCTTATTAGCTCTGCTCTATTCTGCTGGTTCCATTACTTTGCTTCGACTGGCTGGCGCGCTCTGGTTCTTATTGCTTTACTTTGTTTGGCGCTTATTTACTAATTGTTTGATTTAATTTAATTTGGAAAATAAATATTGTTAATTGGATTGGAAGTTTTTTGTGGGAATTAAGAGATTAGAAATTGTCCCCAGGCTTTTACTACAATTAAAGTTATTTGTTGACATTTTGTTCTGTGGCATTTTGTCTTTTGGCAAATAAATTAAAGTTTAATAAGATTCGATATCTCCCAAATTTCCCTTGATATCTTCCCAAATTTTTACTTTTAAGTTTCTTTCCAAAAATTTAAGCTTATCTCCGATTTTCTTTTCCGACTTTTGAGCCATTTCCGATTTCCCACAGGTTCAATTTTCGTTTACTACTATACTTAACTTTCGTCATTTCTGATTACAGAGAGATTCCATTTTATGTTATATTTTATTTCTATTATTTATTACTGTTATTTTTTGTACCATTTTTTAAACGAGAGTTTGTTTCCTTCCGTTATCTTTAACAATTAAGAGGATCAAACATCGTTATTTTATATATTTAATGTTTTGTCCAAACAAACAATAAATATATAGATTCCTCTTCCTTTCTTTTTTTCTTTCTTTTTTTTCTGGCTCCCATACAAAATCTCTATTCCTTAAAATCGCTATTCCTTAAAATCTCTACTAGGGTAAAAATGCTTAAAATCTCTATTCCTTAAAATAACTATTCCTTAAAATCTCTACTGGGGTAAAAATAATTAAAATCTCTACACCGTGCAAATGGACGGTAGAGTCTCAACAAAAGTGTAAAATATGAACTATTCATTGGAAAACCCAGACTTGGTAATGGATACGGATACAATTGATTTAAAAATGGCTGCGGATATCTGCTTGTATCCGCTGTAAATATCGAAGATATAATACACGACTGCTTCGCTGCGGTCGTGTTCATTTTGCTTGCGGTGATCGTATCGGAGCGGCTGCTGTCGTTCCGCTGGACATGCCTGGGTTCATCCGCAGCGGCAAAAACAATACAAGCAAAATAATATCAAAAGATAAGCCAGAAATCAGAACATCGTTTCCGCACTGAACGTTGGCACTCAAAAGGCTTCCGAATGAAAAAATAGACATTTTATCCTATTTTTGGCCGTGTAGAGATTTTAAGGCGTTTTACCCGTGTAGAGATTATGAGGAATAGAGATTTTAAGGAATAGTTATTTTAATAATTTTTAGCCGAGTAGAGATTTTAATGCATTTTAGCTGTGTAGAGATTATAAGGCATTTTAGCCCAGTAGAGATTTTAAGGAATAGAGATTTTGAGGGGATACGTTTTTTCTTTAATATAAAAAAGCTATTTAATAAGAGGGAAACTACTACATATTTCGTCATGTTTTAAAAACATTTGATTAAAAAAGTAAAAATAAATTTAATTATTATTTTTTTACTTTTAAATTTCCTTCCTTATTTTTCCTTTAAAAATATTTTTAAAAATTAATTTTTAAGAGAAAATAAATTAATTAAAATGCCTTTAAACGGAATTTTAAACAACAACAATATTTTAATTAATACTTCATTAAACAATGGCTTTAACAATATTTACACTTATTCAAATAAATTATTAAATAAATTATTAAAAAATTCAAGGAATGGAGAAATTATTTGTTTTTGTAATGCTAAAATATTCAAAAATGGAGAATTTTTAGATAAACAAGTAAGTTAGGGAATGAGGGAATATTATTTAATTCCAAACTTAAATTTACAGTTTATCACGAGTAAATTGGGTAAAAGTTAAAAATGTTATCAAAAAGGGAAAGTTTTTGTTTGGGGACAATCTATGTTATTGGGGTTTTATTAAATTGAATTAGTTTGTTTGAATTTTTAGAGGAATACATATTTTTATTTTTAATTGAAATGTGGGGGTGGGATTAAGTTAAATTCTGTCACATATTAGAGAGAATTAAATTTTTTGTTAAAATAAATTTAATTAATTTTCTGTGTCAAACAATTAATTTATTTTAAATAATTTTATTTTCAAGTCCCACCAATTATTTATTTGTAATGGAAAAGTAATTGAAACTACAGAAAAACCAGATATTTTTGTTGATTGCGAAGGTTTAATTTTAGCACCTGGATTTATTGATATTCAATTAAATGGAGCTTTTGGAATAGATTTTACACAAATTTGTACAGAAAATTATGAAGAAAATGAAAAAGAAAATATTCAAAAAATGGAAATTGTTAAAAATAAATTGTTAAAATATGGGGTAAAATTAATTTAAATTTTAATTGAGAATTGAATTAATTTAAAAGGTAACATCTTTTTGTCCAACAATTATTACTTCACAACAAAAAGTTTATTTTAATTGTCTTAAATTAATTGAAAAAATGAAAACATTAAATAATGAGAGATTATCTGCACAAATAATTGGTAAATAAATATTTTATTTTAGAACTTAAGAAATTGGAAGTCGAGATCGAGATTTTTGAAAAGCCTGGACCTGTTCCTGGATTCTGGAGTTTAATTTCTTGACCTGGACTGGATTATGGGCCTGTAGTCCCGGAAAACCCAGGAAGGTCAAAAAATGCCTAGGCCCGGACTTTGGGTCCAGGAAAAACTTGGTAAAAAGAGCCTTAGTCCAGGTCCAGCTCGATCTCTAATTGGAAGTAGTAAACAACTCTCTCTCTCTCGTTTAATAAATCTTAAATATTTCTTCTCAACTTTGTTTGTTTATTTTCTAGTCCCAAAAATTTCTTTTAATTTCCTTTCCCTTCCACTAACTTTTTAAAATTTATTTTTTTTATTTTTAAGGTGCCCATTTCGAGGGTCCTTTTATCAATCCAAAACGTGCAGGCTGCCATCCAACAGAATATATTATTCCAATAAATAACAATTTAGAAATAGATTTATTTTATTCTTTAAATTCCCCTTCAAAATTAATTTACAATTTGTCAATTGTAACATTAGCGCCAGAATTAGAAAATTCAGAAAAAGCAATTAAAATATTAAATAATAAAAATATACGTGTTTGTATTGGACATTCTAATGCTGATATGGAAATTGGAGAAAATGCTTTGAATGCTGGGGCTACGGGAATTACACATTTATTTTGTGCAATGGCTGGGGTAATTTTGAATATATTTTGTTTTTTCTTTTACACATTAAACGGCAAATTCGCTTGTGGTTTTTGCTTAAATAAAAATATTTTTTTGTCATTATTATAAGGGGGTCTTCTTTAAATTTAATTTAAATTTAGTTTCATCATCGTAAACCCGGCATTATCGATTTACTTTTATCAACAAAAACAACAAAACAAAAATCAAAACAAATATATTATGGGATTATAGCTGATGGTGTACATATTTCAGAGACTTCAATTCAATTAGCTTTTTGTTTAAATCCAAACGGGGCAATGTTAGTGACTGATGGAATTTCTGCTTTAGGTTTAAATGAAGGGAAACATTTACTTGGAAATAAAATAATTAAAGGTTTTTAATTTTAATAGAGAAAATTCCTTTATTTTTTTAGTTGAAGGACGAAAAGCTACAGTTGATGGAACGGATATTTTGGCAGGAAGGTTCTTTAGAAATATTTTTTTATTTAAATTAAATCTCTTTTTCATTTAACAGTGTTGCCTCCATGATAGATTGTATAAAACTTTTTTCTTCATGTATAGAGAAGAGACATGAAAATCGAGGGGTTGCTTCAGCTTTAAAAGCAGCAACCTTTACTCCAGGTAATTTTTAAAAAATAATTTTATTTCTAAAAAAATTTTTTTAGCAAATTTTCTTGGTATTCAACAACAAAAAGGAACTTTAATTGCGGGAAGTGATGCTGATTTTGTATTAATAGATGAAAGGAGAATGGAGATTATTGCAACATTTATTGGGGGAATTAAATGTTTTGATAGTGCAAATTTATTTAATGGAGAATTAATTGAATAAAACTTCAACATTTTATTAATTTTTTAACACACATACACATAATTTTATTTATAAATACCTGCCCAAATCACGTATAAAATTATTCTTCTTTTGTTACTCAAATTGTTTTTACGTGAAAATTTTTTTAAAAGATTTACCGCCTATTTCACAGCTAGAGTTTCACCCACTTATAGTGCCGAAATCATACGGCACTAATATATGTATTTATAAATATGTAGAAATTACATAATTGAAAAAATACAATAATTAAATAGAATAATTTATCCTGCGTACTCTGAATCGTCCCGTTTTTGCCTTGCTCTGAATGAGCGCTCTGAATTGTCCTGCCCTTTCCCGAAGTTTAAATTCAATTTTTGAACAGCAAAAATATGTATAAAAGGCGTCAATATTTGTGTAGCATCTAGTGAATTAATGCTTTAGAAAAATTCCATTATCATTAATTTTGGATATAGTTTAGGGTAATCATGGACAATCCGGGAGACACCCTAAAAACACCTTAAAAATTATTATTTTTTTCTGGAAACAATTTTATTTAGGTAATCGACCGTGCTGAGTCCGAATCTGAGCTGAGAATTTGTTTATTTCGAACCCCGGACCCGAATTCGACTGGTCGAATTCGTCGAATACTTGTTTCTGTCTTAACCAGCGTTCGTTTATATGTACATATCTAATCATTTTATCCTTTAAGCCTTAAGCTAAAATTTAAAATAATTTTATAAAAACAATGGCTGGAGTTGTGCTGGACTTTGCAATTGATGAGACTGCACCAGATGCTGAATGTAATTTTATTTTCATAATTTTAATTAAAATTTTATTTTCAGTGGACGAAATTAGAAAGGGAGTTTCTAAAAGGGGGAATCTTTGGGAGAATTTTCACTACAGAGCTGACAATTTTCGACTTTGGCTTTCTACAAGATGTTGTACTTGTCTCTCTTTTGTTCCGTCGTTGGCGTTGGTTTTGATTGCTGCTGTGCTGATAATGCTGCTCATTGCGACAATTCCTCTGGCATTTGCGCTCACTTATTCAAGTCCACAAGCAAGCAATATTGACAAAAAAGCTACTGAAAATGGAGGATCCACATCCAATATTGGAAAGGGAGACAAAGTATTTTGGAATTTGAAAATTGCCATATTTTAAATCTAAATAGTTTAATTTCTTCGTTGACCGTGAACATTCTTCTTGGCCAGAATTGACTGAAGTTTTTAAATATCAAGACTGGGAAGACCATACACCCCTTCGGACAACTGAATTTCTTCCAAAGAATATTACCAGTTGTACTGTTTATGGATTTGCTTGTACTGCTCAGCCGGTAAATCCTTAATGTTTTGACTTTTTTGTTAAATTCGATATTTTAGTACATTGTTGTGTCGAAGAATCGTCGTTGTGACGGACATCCAGATTGTGAGGATGGAAGCGATGAAATTGACTGTCAAGGTTCTTTGTTTGTTTTTGCTACAAACATTCTAAATTTTAGAATGTCAAGCAACGCTTTCTTGCCCAGCATCAACCATCAACAAAAATTCAAAGCGAAGGATTTGTTTAGTGGGTAATCATCTCTGTGATGAATACAAACACTGTCCTGGTTCAGAGGATGAAACTCTTTATTGCAATCGTATTTTTTTTAATTATTAAAAATGTTTTCGGGGACAGGCTCATAGCCAGGAAGAGGGGAATTCTAGGGAATTTGTTCAAAAACAACAGTTAGAACAGCAATCAAAACCAACATCAAAAACTCTGCGAAGAAATTACTAATAATTTATTCTAGTTTTCCGATTTTTGTGCTGTCTGTCATTCTAGGTCACAGTTTTTTTCGAAGCTTGCCATTTTAGATTTGGACCAATATTATAACATTCAACATTTTCAAAAATGATTCCCTTTCTCCCTGAAAAATTTTCTGACTATGTGCCTGATTGAAGAATAAAAGTACACATTAAAATTAAGGTAAAGAATGTTCAGTTGATGAGTATCGGTGCAAGGACGTTGATATGTGCATTCCAAATAATGCAATTTGTGACGGAGAAAATCATTGTCCATTTGGTGATGATGAACAAAATTGCAAAGAATGCAATGGAGGGTCAAAGATGTGTGGTAATGCAAAAGGGGGAATTTGCTTGGCAAAACGTTATCTTTGTGATGGTTTTGTTGACTGTCACATTGACGCAAGTGATGAAAAGGTAGAATTTAATTTTAGTTTAATTGTAAGTAATGCTTGCCTCAAATATACACTCCTTCACAAAATTATAGCCCCACCAATATTTTTCTCGGTTTCTATACTGTGTCCGTTCTATACTTTGTCAACGGATACAGTATAGAAACCGAGAAAAATATAGGTGGGGCTATAATTTTGTAAATGAGTGTATATGTAAGAATTAGAAAAATCTTTTGCAGGATTGTGATTGTGCCTCTTGTTCAGGCAAATTCTCTGCTCTCTGCAATGGAACAAGTAAGATGTGTATTTCCAAAGATAGTGTTTGTAATGGCCGTTTTGACTGTCCTGATGGTGAAGATGAAAATGGTTGTCCAGGCGTTTGTCCTCTTACAAAATTATCATTAATGAAGAATCAGCAGGTTGTTTAGTTCGGGAGGAATTAATATTTTAATTATAAAGGGAAGCAACTCAAGCAGCCACAATTCCGTTCTTTGCAATGACGGTCTTTTCCACGATTGGTCACATGCATGTGATGGCCTTCTCGAAACATGCCGTTTTAAATGTAAAGAGTGCAATCCTGCTAGAGCCTTCCAATGTCATTCAAACAACGGAAATGGAACAAATGTTTTTGATAAAATGTTTCCAGAGTGCATTCATCGTTCTTTGGTATTTTTGCTTTATTGTTAGTTATTCCTTCGCTCCTGAAGTGGGGAGGGAATCATCTTTTTTGTTTCCTACCCAACGACACGGGGGGAGATTTTATTTTTGAGTGGCGAATATAAAAATCCATGTAATTTCAATTTTAAGGTCTGTGATGGAAAACCTGACTGCCTTGACGGATCTGATGAGTTGGACTGCAGCTGCAAAACCCCTCGCATGAATGAATGTCACAGTAAGACTGCTTTTCGTCGCTGTTATTCTAACTTTCACAAGTGTGATGGTAATTTAAATTTGAATGGAAATCTGGAAATTATTTTACCATTTTCAGGTTATTCTGATTGTTTGGGAGGAGAAGATGAACGCAATTGCACTGCCTGTACCAATGGAGCTTTTCTCTGTCAAACCGAAGGTCGTTGTATCCCCCCTAACGCGCGTTGCAATGGGGAGCCTGATTGCTTGGACGAATCAGATGAAATGAACTGCACTTGTAAAGGTTATTCTTCTATAATGATTTAAAATTTTGAAATCTTTTTAAAGAATGTTCTCGACACTCTAAACAAATGTACATGTGTGAGACTGCTCAGCGCTGTTATCCATTAAATAAAGTCTGTACTCCTTACAGTGTTTGTGCAAATGCAACTCGGAGTGACCAAATGTTTTGTGCAATTCGTGGCCATGAATACTTCTGAAGACAAAAAATACCTTTAGATATTCTTCTCTAATTAATTAATTTTGACTATTTATAATTTAATTATATTTATTGACATTTATATATTTTTAAGTTTATATATTTATCTATATCATAATGATTTAAGTACATATTTTGTAAATCTTAATAGAAAAAATAATTTTTAAAATAAATTCTTTTTATATTTTTTTTGATAATTTTAAATAAGTTATTTTAATACATTTACTCTACTTTTAAATTTACTCTAATATTCCTTTACTGGTTATTTTTATTCCTTTTCATTTTTTCTATAATATTTTTTAAGAAAAACATTCAAGGATGGGTCGTTTATTGAGATTTTCAATTGATGAACCTTTTTCTAAACCCTTAATAATTATTGCTCTTCAAATTGCTTTTATATCTGCATTAATTTCATATTATGGCGTGGAAATCCCTATGCAGCCTGTTTATGACTTTTTTCGGATAAATTTACAAAAGGTTTTTTTAAATAATATTGGGTTTAAATTAGTAATTTTGGATTCGATGGAAGTCCGGTTCTTTATAATATCGATACTGTTTAAACTTATTTATCTAAAAATAATTTTATTTTTCTATATTTCAAATAATTACAGGTTAAACAAAATTGTGGATTTCTTCCTATTGAAAATTTGTTCAATAGTTTTACACGGCGTAAAACTTCAGAAAGTCAAAGAAATGAAGGTTTAAAGCAGAAGCAACGAAAAGGTTTTTTGAATTTAATCGATTGTTTTCATTTAAATATTTTTAGAAATAATTTCCTCAGAAAACGGGAATTCTTTTAAACTTGATAAAAATGAGAATTATTTTGTATTTACGACTGATCAACTTGCTTTATTTGATGGGACTCGTTCTTCGAAGCCTGTTTATTTGGCAATACTTGGACGTGTTTTTAATGTTGAAAAAGGAAAAAAGCATTATGGACGTGGTGGTGGATATAACTTTTTTGCTGGTATTTTTAAAATAATTTCCTTTTTTCCATTCTTCATAGAATAATTTAACATTTTTAAGAGTATTTTATAATTATTTAAGTTAATTTTTATAAATATATTTTAATTTTAAGGTCGAGATGCAACTCGAGCATTTGTGTCGGGCGATTTTTCAGAAGAAGGACTTTCTGATGATGTAAATTTTGAAGATATATTTTAATTCATTTAAATCTTCAAAAAACCACAAAAATTCGCATTTTTAAGATAATCCTTATCGACCTATCAAAAACCCACAAAATGAGGAAAAATCCACAAAAATCGAAGCCCATATTTAAATTAATTTTAAAATACCTAATTATAAATGGATATACTTTAGCCGGTGGCCCACTCAGAAACAGGTCAAATTATATACCATTCGATTCGTCTCGGCGAGCTGAGTCGAATGGTACCACTCTTTTTTTGCGGAAATTCCTACGAGCCGAGATATAGGTCCTTGAAAACCGAAAAACCAAAGGGGGGACCAAGCACTTTTTTGGGGTGAAAAATTCGAAAATGCAAATAATATCTAATTCGAAAGAGCTCGTCGAGCTGAGTCGAATGACACCAAAATCACCGTGATTGAACAAGATTAGACAAAGTTATGACACAAAAAACAAAAAACCTAAACCTAAGGGGCGTAGGCGAGGCGCTTGTGCAAAACTCCGCGCTTCGCGCGGAGTTTTGCGGCACGCGCCTCGCGGGGAGTCTACGGGTGCTGGGTCTGGGCTCGTAACATAAACCTATTCCTATCTCCCTTGCTCTGGACGTATTTGGGGCCTCCGTAGCTGCAAAAATCTCCACAGATGCCATAGGTAAGGAGCTAAAATAAAAAATCATAACTTTGTCAAATCAAGTCGGATTTCGTTGATTTTGGTGTCATTCGACTCATCTCGACGAGCTCTTTCGAATGAGATATTATTTGCATTTTCGAATTTTTCACCCCAAAAAAGTGCTTGGTCCCCCCTTTGGTTTTTCGGTTTTCAAGGACCTATATCTCGGCTCGTAGGAATTTCCGCAAAAAAAGAGTGGTACCATTCGACTCAGCTCGCCGAGACGAATCGAATGGTATATAATTTGACCCGTTTCTTAGTGGGCCACCGGCTAAAGTACAGCCTTATAAATACCTAATTTAATTTAAGATTAGCGGATTAACAGACGAGGAATTACTTTCAATTGCTAGTTGGATTGAATTTTATGAAAAAGATTATAAATTTGTTGGTGTTCTTTTTGGAATTTATTATGACCGAGATGGAAATCCAACACCTTTACTTGATAATGTAATCTTTATTATCTAATCTTAATTTTATTTTTCAATTAATTAAATACCAAAATAATTTTTATAAAATATTTTTAGATAAATTCCAAAATTTCTCAACTAAAAATACAAAAACAACAAAAATCAATCGATATGGAGGCATTTCCACCTTGTAATTCTGAATGGCGCAAAGAGACGGGAGGTCGAGTTTGGTGCACTACAAGAAGTGGAGGGGTGGCTCGTGAATGGGTAGTATATTTAAAATATTTAAAAGTTTATATTAAAGAATATTTAAGTTGTGAAAATTAGAAAAATATTTTTTTAATATTAAGGTTGGAGTGCCTCGTCTTTTATTTGAACCTACAACTCAAAATCAACGTTGTGTTTGTGTCAAAAATTTTGGTGCTCCCTTATCAAATTTGGGCGTAGATAAAAAACAAATAAAAGGAGGAGAAAGTCGTGGGGATTTGGACAATCCTAATTTAAGAGAATATAAAGATTGTGTGCCAACTGCTAATTCTTGTAAATTATCCATTGATTGAAAAAGGAATTTATTGAGTGGAACCGATAAATAGAAAATCAACTTCTTGTTTATAACCGTCCTACATTTAACTGCCATAATATTTAAATTTATTTTTATAATTCTAACGCGGGTATTTTCCGCTTTTTTCTTGCCTTAATTTAACTTTTTTCAATTTTTAAAAGTCTAATATTTAGTTTTTCTAGTTAATTATATTTTATAATATATTTTATAATTATTTGTTAATGTTATACGTATTTTATTTTATAAAATGCTTGAAAAAATTTTGAGATAATAAAAATGTTATATTTCATAAACAATTTGTAATTTTACATTAGGCAGCAATAACATGGCTTGATTATTTTTATTTTTTTTTAAATCTAAAGGTCAATTTAGAACAAATCTTTACATTAGTATTGTCTTAGAATATTTTAATTTTGTAATAAAAAAAATTCAGATCAAGCCTTGTTCAAAAATATTTTAAAATAATTTCTTGAATATTGTAATTAATCAGAAGTAGCTTTTCCAATAAGTAGAAAGTCGTGGAGTATAGGCTGGCGGCCGGTAGCTGTTGTAATGTCTCAAATTATTTGCTTTTCCGTGGAAGTACCATGGAACACTTAAAGATTTAAATTAACACTTAAATTTAAGGATCTGAATAACTTACCTAGAAATATGTGAAACGCGTAGGAAACGATAATTAGATTGTGACCATGGTTTGGCTGACAGATTGAAGCTGTGCTAAAATAAATAATGTTAAAATTTATTTTTCTATTTTTTTATTTACCTCTCCTGCTACATAATTATAGCCAGAATATGAGCGTCTTTCAGTTCGCAACTTTGCTTCTGGTGCCAGCATTGTTGGCTTTAAATTAATAATTTAGAAGTTAAAATAGCATCTTTACCGTATATAAAGACTGGAGTCCATAAACTCGTGTATAACTACTAGGACGTGTATAATGTTGGTCTCTTCCATAAATATATCTTAATACAGGTAGTAATTAAAATTTCATTTTAATTAAAAATATACTTGTAAATTGGGTATGACCAAGTTCTTGCTTGGAAGATATCATATTTTCTTACCTAAATTAATTTCAAATAAATATTTTGAAGAAAATTAACTGGCTGATTTTCTTGATAATAGTTTATATTTGTGTGATAAGGTGCAGTTACAATAGCCAAAGGAGAGCGATAACTGTCTACTGATCGAGAACGCCTATCATTTCTTATTGTCTAAATAAAAATTTTTGTTAATTATTAAAAGAATTTTGAAGGAAAAATTAGCTAATTAAACAAAAATTAGCAAAAATATATTTAATTATTTAAAATTAACTTCATATCCTGCAATATCACGAACAGGGGTAAATGATCTCCGTACATTATGACAATAACGATCTACACAATCCATTGGTGTATTTTCGCGTGACCATCGTGACAAATATTTTTCTCTAAAAATTTTATTATATCTTAGTAGAAAACTCAAAAATCCAAGATTCCTAACCCCACATACCCCCACCCACGGCCATTATACTTCCCAAACAATTAACAAAACTCACTGTGTTCCGTTATAAAAATCTACTGATCTAGAGCGACGGACATAACCAAATGTCATTATATTAAGAAATTTATTTGAATTGTTTGTTTAAAAAATTTTTCTATTTCATTAAGTATGTACAATAAAAATATTTTTATCTAAAAAAATAAATAATGAAAGTGAGGAGGTAAATTGTGAAAATTAATATTTTTTAATTAAATAATCCATTAGAAGCATTTATTCAGGCTTTATATTATATAAAATTGTTAAAATTTCTCAATTCATTCTATATTTTTCACTAACAGATTGAACAACTTAGGTTCAACATTATTAATTATAAAAAATTAAGAAATTGGTGGTGGACGATTATTTGTTCTTAACTGAATATTTATAAAGATTAATCGGAGATATGGAGAAGTTCGACATAAAAAGAATATTTTAAGATTCTGAATATATTTACTAATTTTTTTACTCGATAAACTTTTAAATAAAAAATTTAAATTTCTAAGTAAACATTTTAATGGGAAAAAATTTTATGTTAATTTTAAATTTAATTTAATAAATAAATAAAATATTTATATATTTTAAACAATTAATAACTAAAGAAAAAAAATAAAATGAAACAGCCGTTATTTTATTTAGAAAATCTCGTATTTTACTAGTGAAAATATTGAAAGTATATTCAATATCTTACTTTATTTCTTCTATATTTTTTTTCTTTTTCGATCTTCAACATTTCTAATGTTCAATTCTCTCCTTTATTTCCTTCAATATATTGCCAATCCTTCTGTTAAAAAATCTAAAAACATAAAATACACCCACGTTTATATTCTCTCTTAATCATTTCAAATCTCTACTCAACTTTTCCCATATTCCTCTAAATATTTTAAAAAGAAAATAGTAAATGATGGAGGGGTTTTTTTTATTAGAATTTGTTTATTTTAACGGCTGTTCTTTGAAAAATTGATTTTATTTGGAGGAATTTTGGAAATGTGTATTTGGATTTAAAAATTAATAATTATTTAATTTTAAAAGAAAATTTATTTAAAATTAAAATCTTTTTAATAAATATAAAAATATTTATTGCAATAAAAGTGCACTCTGCAGATATAAACATTTTTCTTCCGATTTTTTAATATTTTTAGGACTTTGCATTTTACAAGTCATCTTTTTTTTTCAGTAGACGAGCCTGTGGAAAAAAATGTGTCAACAAATTCAGATATCAATCCTCCAGTCTGTATCTGAATAGTAAACAACCCAAATATGATGAATTGTTGATCAAAAAAGAAAAAAAGTTAAAATCCCCGTAAAATAAAAATATTTATGGCAATAAAATATTAAAAAAATAAATTGAGGATCATTAAAAATTGAAGATTTTCTGGGCAATATTGAAAAATGAAGTAAAAAGAAATAAAAATAAAGAAAATTTAAATTGAAGAATTAAAAAATAATAGAAACTAATTAATTGGGAATTAGCAATTTAAAATTAATTTTTTTCCTTTATTTAATCCCCTCCCTCTTCTTTATTTTCTTTTTCTCCTTCTCTTAAAATATTTAAAACTCTTCCACTTTCAGAAACTTGTTCAAGAACTTGTTTTGCATCAGAAAAAGTTTCTTGCATTAATCCAAGTTGGGCTTTAAGTAACCGAACATTCCAACCAAAATTCTCTTGAGCGCGCCTTTTTCAATTAAATTAATTTAAAAATAAATTTTTAAATTATTTACGTTGCTTTTTGACCACGAAGACCGGCATCAAAAATTATTTTTTGTAATCCCAATTCGTATTCAGAAATTAATTTACTCGATTCATTTAAAGAAATATAAAGAGAATTGGATTTTAAATTTATATCCTTTAAAAAAATTAAAATAATTTTTAATATTTATTTAATTACAGAGCATTGTTTGAGCAAATTATCTAAAGCAGAAAAAGCTTTTTGTAAAGGATCAGGCACATTTAAATTATTTGTTATATTTAATTGTAACTGAAAAATTTATTTAAATTTTTTAAATTATTTAATTTAAATTTACAATTTCAATTTTATTTTCAATTTTTTTATTAATTATAAAAAGAGAAGAGGAAGAATTATTTAAAGAATCTGTTGTTGATACTTAAAAAAATAAATAAATATACAATTAATTATTTTTAATTAAAATATTTACATTCTTTTGATGCTCTTGAGTGTAATTTAACTATTGACTGTGCAAGAGTACCTTTTACTCCAATTCCACTTTCTTCTGCCCAAACAGTCTAAATTAATTTAAAAAATTTTGAGGAGTAATTTTAAAAGTTTAGATATACAGACTGTTTGGGAAATAAAAAATATCTATTTAATTAATTTTTGGTAGGTTAAAGGATTATTCTTTTTAATGAAAAATTTCTGATAATTTAATTTACCTAATACAAATCTAAATAAATATATACCATAGCTAATTCCATTCCAGCTTTTAATTCAATAAATTGAGCAAGAGGGCCACTAGCCGATTTAAACAATTCATCAATTTGTTTAATTCCAATAATTTTCATTCCTGTTTGTACTCTACTTGTTTTACGTTTAACCGATAATCCTCTCTTTTTTGGTTTCTTTAAGAGAATTTATACATAATTTAATTTAGTAAACACACAAACCCCTCCTCCACGTTTATTTGTAACAGCAATATGTACAAATAATGTACTTGCTTCCATTGGTTCCCCTTCATTATTTAATAAAGGAATATGTCTAGAAAATTAAAAGAATTTAAAAATAAAATATTTTTAAATAGAAAAAAATAGAGAAACACAATTGAATATTAAATAACGGTATTATTAATTAATTTCAATTAACCCCTACCTATATCCACTCTGTAAACAATCAAAAGGTATTGTATATTGCCCAATAAAATCATCCCCAATAAAATCATCATCTAACACCAAAAAACGAATTAAAGCCAATTCAGGCACAGAAACAGAAAATTGGAAACTTTCATCAAATGTTGGATTAAAACAATTATCGTCATCAGAAGACCTAACAGTTTTTGTCCGTTCTTCAGCACAATCAGCAGGGACGCCAAAGACTTCAAGCACAACAAAAGGATCGAGGCCTGTGTCTCCCTTTTTTTTAAAATTATTTTAAACAATTTCCCTTCCCCAAAGAAAACACCTTAGCAGTAGAAGCGCGAGGTCTAGGTAATTGTTGTCCAGAAAGAACTTTTAAATGAAGTATTTGTTGTGTTGAACGTAAATTATTGTTATTATTTAAAGATTGGCGTTGATTTAAAGATAATTTTTTAGATTGTTCCAAATTATTAATTGTTCCATTATTAATTAATTCTGTAGAAGTAGAAGAATTTTCTTCAATCATTATTGAAGGTTTAAGTACATAACCACAACTTCCATTTGCAAGAAATTTTCCCTTCAAAAATTAATTTCTTTTACCCAAAAATTTCTTTAAAAACTTCTTGTAAATCCATCATCAATCCAGGCGTTTGATAATTTAAAGCAACAAATTGAC